GGTTCAGTGCTGTGTAGCAGTCAGTGCCCACTCCATATCTCAAAGATAAAAAAAAAAAAAATAGTAAAAATTACTAGGACAAGAATAGAGAACAAACCAGAAAATGTCCTTAGACAACTGAATAAATGTACGGTTTGTCTGCATTTCAGTGCTGTTCTTCCTTTACAGAAAGGATGTACAAGTGCTGATCTGAAAGTAATGCCTTCTATTTCACCACATTGGCCCATGACATCAGATAATGATATTGGTGTTGTGGCAGTAGAGATTGAATCTTCCTGCTGGTATTGCATTACATTTTATTCATGTGTGATAGATGGTAGCAGAGGGGCAGTCTGACAGAATGGCGACTGATGTGGAAGTGTGTATGTAGCAAAGATGTGTCACTGAATTACTCGATGCAGAAAAAATTGCATCTACTGACATTCATCAACACTTCCTGAATGCTTATGGAGACCAAACAATGGATATGAACACAGTGAGGCAATGGCTAGTAAAACTGTGAAACAGTGGGTCATCTCCACTGGCACAGGAACTTGTTCTTGGCTGGCAAAAATAATTAGCTAAGCATGGTGCCTATGTTGAAACATAGTGTTTTGTAGCTGATAATTTGTTCTATTGGTGTTATTGTGCTCTTTGTATCTATCGTAGTTTCCACAGGCATTACTTCTGGAGTAACCTACGTATTAAGTTTGAAAAAAACTCAAGGAAAACAAGAATTACCAAAGAAATGAAACAGCTTCCCTGTCAGCAGTGACTGAGGGGCTGGGATTCCTCAGCCTGGAAAAGGGAGGAGTTAACAGATGGAACAGAACAGCATAAAAGCCAGATTACAAACATGCAAAATGATACTGTTGCCATACACAGGATGGTAGGTTCATAGAAAATTTTATGGAATTCTGTGCCAAATTATGTCATAAAAAAGATTCTTATGAGAAAGATTCTCAGAAGAAAGGTTCATTACAGGCCACTGAGTGGACAACGCACACCTGGATCAAGAAAGTCTCAAAACTGAAGATAATTGGAAGTTGGAAAATCAGTAGAAAGTATCACACATACTTATTCTGTACCTGCCTTTCCCTGTCTTTCTCTGAATCTGAGCCAATACAACACCTCTATGGTCTAATGCTTTAATATTTATGTATTATTATTAACTATTATTTTTTTATTATATAGCTAAATTATATACACTTAACAGACAAAGAAAATATTGCTTATTTGATGAGCTTGCTGTCTGAATATCAAATAAAATTATATTAAAATGAAAATTTTAAATAAAAATTCTTACTATTCCTTTTAGCTTTTTTAATAGCTTTTATGTCTACAGGCTTCAATCCTGATTCAAAGTTCTACTACATCACATAAATCATAGAGAGAAAAACAATGCAAAAATGGAAATACTGAGTAATAAATAAATAATAGTAAATAATACTATTCCAAAAAGATTTTGGAATGTAAGCACAGGACAAAAAACAGGGACGGCGATGACAGAACAGTAAAAGTTAACTGTGAGACAATAGGAGAGACAGTATCCATTGAACCTTACAACATATTTGGGAAGTGTGGTAGTACAAGGGTGTTTTGAGAGGAAACACAAACTGAGTTTGCAGGTATTTACGTGGAACACATTCTGAGTACTAAGGATGCCTAGAAAAAAATGGTTGTCTTAAAATGTAACAGAGAACAGGAGGCAATACACTGTACAAAACAAATATGTATGTCATCTGCCATAAATAAATGGCAGGCAAAAGAAAGAGTAGTCTGTGAAGTGTATTGAAATCAGACCCAAGTAATTTATGACAGATGCAGCAGACGAGGGGAAATCACTGGAGGGATAAAATGGAAAAGGAACATGGTAGAAACTGAGAAAAAAAATCATTACAATAGATATGGCAACATCAGAATTGCATTTTCAAAAATCAGACAAAGGAATATTGATGTAAATGAGAAGGGAGATGAGCCTAGACATGACTTTTTGCTAAATAAGGAGATAGGAAAGCTGCAGCTAGATGTGTTTTGCACTGAATCTTTAAGATGTGCCTTTAGTGGCAGGATCTGCAGTGAGGTCTGTGTTGAGAATAATGTCCTTTGCATGCACATGAGTGGCAGGGGTGGTGTCACTGTGACTGCAAAAGGAGATAAGTGACCAGGGGAAAGAAGGAAGGTCTCTGCTTTAGGTTTGTCAAGACTGAGATGACAAAGATTTACAAAATGGCATTTTTATTAAGTTAAAATAAGCAGTTGGTGAAGGAGCTGCAGGACTAGGACTCCACACAGAGGCTTGCTGAGGTCTGCATTTCAGCACTGGGAATAGAGAGTAGGAGTTGACTGCCTATGAGCCTCCATTTGAGCATGGGCAACTTACACGAGACCTGTCTGCAGCAGAAATAGACAAATCCATCTTTGCCAATCCATGGGTTTAACACCTGCATCCCATACCAGCAAGTAAAAGGGAAAGTGGGGCAAAGCTCTATCTAAAAATGAAAGAAGGCACACATTGCTCTGTGTGACAGAGCTAAATGACAGCACTATTTCTAATATTTCTTAATGCTTGCAATCTTAACGCTTCGTTTATTTATTTATATTTCAGGAAGTTTTCTATTGCAAATGTGTATGACCAACTTTTACTTTTCTCAGATCTTTTACAACATGAGAACCATATAATCAACAAAATCCATAATTAATCAAATGAGGCTGAGACTGGCTTAAGGAGTGCATAAAATACTGGTGTACATGAAGGGAATATTGCTGGCAGTATTTGACTTACTTTATTCTTTCAAACTCTTATTGTTCATAGACTACTGATGCTGGTTTTTCCTCTATTTGTGATTTAAAATAGCAAATATATCTGATTCAGTCTTTTTCTCTTTATATTTTGCCATAATATATGAGATAAAAGAGCAGAGATCACAGAGAGGTGCTTGCTGTAATGGTGCAGTTAAAGAGTGAAAGCTGGAACAGTTCGCTTTGGGAAGGTACTTGAAAAGGTCAGTCTCCCTACTACAGATGGTGATGTTTTGATGGATAAAAAAAGAGTTTGCTGTTTGGATTTAGACAGGTAGGTCATGGCTTTAACTGTCTGCTCACTGACAGGAAAAAAAAAATAGATATAGTTCCTCATAATATTATTTCACCATTCACAGTTGATGGATGAGTTAAAAACATACCTTTTCTTCAGTTTATTCTCTAGGTCAGGAAATGTTGTATTATTGTATTTCTTTCTTTGAAAACATGACACTTTCATTAAACTAAAGATGATATTTTAAAGTCAATTTATGTGAATACAACCATATTCTCTCCTGATTTGGTATTGTATAACTTCCTCTAAAATTGTCTTTACAGAATCATGACAAAGATTCTTTTTTCTTAGGGCAAAAGTACAGTTAGAAGATATTATTTTCTCTCCTTCTGTAGCAGTTGAAGAGTTGCACTGAAATGGAGATTCAGACACCTGCTTTTGTAGTTGACTGTGCACTGAAGTACAGGCCTGGAGAGAACCATTAGAATGTGGAGATAATTGAAAGACCTGATGTATTTGACATGACCTGATATACTGAAGAATTTCTAGAAATTTTTTAGATGCTGTGCTAGTGATGGAGTTGCCATGACATTTTCATAGTGGATGTGCTATTTCAGCTCCTTGTAACTTTGCTCTAAAAATTACCTTTTAAGATAATTTCTTGTGTGTTTACAAGAATAGTATTCAAAGGTGCTAAACCGACACCTAAACACCATCTATTTAATGCGGGCATTTACAGTGCCCAGCTCCCAGCAGTGTGCCATTAACACCTTATTTCTTAAATCAGGAAGGCTGCTGCACATTTTCATATACTTGGCTATCAGCTGAGATTGACAAAGGTCAGACATTTCCTCTGAAGGCTTCTTTCATTTGGAGCATGAACTCTCCTTTCTTTTCCCTTTATGTGAAACAATCCAAATCAACTAAAAGAGGTTAAAATGTCTGAAGGGGTACTTATCATTCAATAGCTGCTTTAATAGCCAGAAGCTTCCACAGAATAATATCACAGACTGTTTTTGTTTGTTTCTTTGTTTGTTTTTTAAGCTATTTTCTATGCTATACGTTTTATATACTTATAATTATTGAATTAGAAGGACTTGCTGCTAAGTCCTATCTTTGTAGTGCACAGAAGCTTGAGGAAACAGTGAATAAATATTAAGTACTTTACACTTGTATTTTTATTGATGTGTTGGTTCTATTTTTCTGTTGATGAATGAGAATGCGCAGGTAAGAATTGGAATAGTACTAGCATGACAAGCTAGTATTGAATCAAGCTGATTCAAAACCTGGAAGATCTATACTCTCTGATGTACATCTACTTCAACTTTCACATTAAGAGGAATTGAAAGATCTTCCACCACTCTTTCTCCACCTTTACCTGTAATATTTCTGAGTTATCCTGCCAGATGTGGCTACATTTCCAGTATGAGCCCACAGATGAAGTCCCTCTACTTGTCATACTAGGATTGAAATTATATGTGAAGTGGGACGGGGATACCAATTAACAGGAAATAATACTAATACTAATACTAATACTAATAATAAAAACAACAGCCCAGGTGTGAATAGCTAAGACATATGCAACCCCTAAGGAAACAGGAAGGTGATCAGAGTTTTGAAGGGAACACCAGATTGCCTGGATAGAGAGTGTATTTGGGTAGGTGTGATAGAACCAGAGTTAGGAATGGTATATTCAAAGGAGGAAGACTAACCACGTAAACTCTCTGGGTACTTAGCACCGCTGTTTAATAAAACAATCTTCCACGCGGGGGAACCGATGGACACCCTAGTGATTTTTGTTGAGATGCTCTTCTGCATCAGGATTTCGAAAGTCACCGTAAACGCGCACAGGACTCTGCCGGTCCGGACGGACGGACGGACGGACGGACCACTCGACTCGCACCCAGCCCCGCGGAGCCCCCGCCCCCCCGACGCCAACATGAAGCTCCTGGCTGCAACCGGGCGGACTACGGGCAGCACCCGCCTCCTCCTCGCCTTCACCTTGCTACGCGCAGGCGCAGCGCCTTCGCACATGCGCTGTTGGGTCGGCGACGTGCGGGCGAGGGTCTGCATCCGGGTCGCCGCCGTGCCGCCGCCGTGCCCATTGTCTGGGGAGGGGGTCCGAGGCTCAGCGGTCCGCGCCCGAGGGGCTGAGGCGGCGCTGCGCTGCCGCCGCCTGGACACGTTCCCAGTCGCCGCCGCTCACCTGCGTAGCCTTTAGTAAGTGCTTCTCAGCGGCTCCTACCGCCCCTTCCCCGGGGAGAGCGCGGAGGCGCTCGGCGGGACGGGGGCAGCCCAGCGTCTCTCCGGGATGTCGAGCGGGTCGGGTCCTCCTTCTGCCGTGCCGTATCTCCGGCGCTGGATGGCGGAACGCCTGGAGGTGCTGCAGGGAAGCGGCTCCCTTCGCCAGCCCGGGCCCGGGGTGGTGCCGGTGCCGGCTATACGCGGTGCCCGGGGTGTGAGTGGTTCCCCCGTCCCTGGCACGGTGAAGCCGGTGCCGGCAGCACTCGTGTGCGTGCTGCCCCGTCGGGTTAACGCCGCACGTCTAAGCACGCTGCGTGTTCATTGTGCTGTCTAATAGGAGTACTATGCTTCTTTCTGCAGTGGACCGCAGCTCGAAGAGGAGACAAGTGAAGCCTCTGGCGGCTTCCCTGCTGGAAGCTTTAGATTATGATAGCTCTGATGACAGTGATTTTAAAGTTGGAGATGCTTCAGGTAAATATATTTCCTCATCGCCTCTGTTGAGAATTACTTCATTTTTGTTTTAGGGTTGCTTGTTTAATGTCACGCAGGAGATAGAGTGGTATTAGTGAGCTGCTGGGACGAGGGGCTGGAAGGGCTTCAGTTGCATAACTGGAGATTCCATGCTGCAGATAGGAAACAACTGATCAAGTAAAACATACAGTGCTGCCTTTGAACATAAATTTTTCACAGTGGAAAATTCTGTTATCAAATAAGTTTTGGCAGAAGCATTTCAGCAGTTTCTGTGCTGATTGTCATGGCTATTTCTGTTGCTTTCTATTTCCTCAGTCAAAAGACAGCTTTGGGAACTGTATCTTCTTTTGGTATTGGAGTAACTGCTGTAAAGCCATTTTGTTTTGAATAAGTCTGGATAGTAATTTGTTGAGGACTGAGGAACCTGTCTGACTTCTCAAGGGTAATTCCACTCTGAGTGAACATCTTAAACAGAAAGATAATCTCTTCAAGTTTTTATTCTATATTATTATTGTTAATATTTTTTACAACAGACTTAGGATGTCTTCTGTGATAGTTGTGTAGAAAGATGTAAGCATTTCATACCAGAAGTCCTTGCTTTGGGATGTGTTCTTGTAGTGCTCTTCTCTGTGCGTTCCTCAATCTGAATGAACATCCACAGAAACTGAAAGTAGACAAGATGCTGAATAAATTGAGCTCTCCTGGAGAGAGAGAGGAGGGGGAGAAAAGGGGCAGGACTCTGTTTGTTAAAAGCTGCATGGTGGATGTTTTACGTCATGCTCAGGGAAACAGGCAAAGAAAAGCAGTGTATTTAAGCTATAAGGGAAGCATTATGACACCTTGCCAAAGAACTGTACTTTCTTCGTTCTGCACTGGAGACGTTGATCTATGTTTTCATCTGACTTCATCTTGCAGAAATATTCCCCATCTCCTTGTAATTACGTCTTTTTTTTTTTTTAATCATCTATGAAGATCTTGTGTATTAATGAACTTGAGAAGAGCTCAGTGGTCATTTCACCAGTACCAGTTCTGTGTGAAGTTTTGAAGGCTTTTCTTGTTTGCTTCTATAATACTGCTTTGGGATATTTTTTTTTAAATCCCTCCTTTAGGTCCCAAATAAAATCTCTCCATTTTGCATTAGAAACGTAGGTTGCGTTTGAAGGAAAAAGAAATACAATATGGAACGTGGACATGTAATCCAGAGCAATGTATTATTTGATAAGAAAGCTGTCATTCATTACTTAAAAGTCTCAACTTTGGATGGATGGAAAGGACTATTTTGTTGTTGATTTTTCAACTTTCAGAGTATGTATGTGTGCAAGGGGGAACAGTGTCCACCTCAGAGTGGTTCAACTTCAGTTGCATTTTGAGGAAGTTGAATCTCTTAAAGCCACTGAATGGACTTAACTGTATAATTGGAAAAACCCAATGGGTTACTCTTTTGTGTTTGAACATCTTATATGACTTCCTTTTGCATAACATTAAGTGAAAATGTTTTTGAAACAACAGTGTTGGATGTTTTTCACTTTTTTTTTTTTTTTTTTCTTCAAACATTGTCTTTAGTGTGGGAAAAAAAAGCTTTGTGAGGATTTGGAGGAGTTGGGATTTGGAGGAGTAGGAAGTTATTAAATGTATAGTATCTTAAACTGAATGAGAAGTAGTTGTTGTACAGATCATTTGGATAGCTGCAGAATATTTGAAATAGGGCATCGGTGATGATTTCAAAAGAGGCTGGTATGAAATACCCTTACGTTTGTTTGTACTTAATCCATTTCATGTAAGTGGAAGACGTACTAAAACAAAGGCACTTAGATAAATAAAATTGATCACTTCAAAGTTTGTATGTATGTATGTATACTATATTTGTAGGGGAAAAAAAATGGTGTACACAGAAACACACCCACCAGACAAATTATGGATTGCTGTTGATAGGATACTGATAGACAACATATTTTCCTTTTGCTCTCTGCAGGATTTAGTCTTCAAAGCATAGTATGTAGTTCTCCACTAGAGTCAAGGCTGTTGCTCTTTTCCTTCTTTCAGTGGGCTCCATGTGCAGCCTGTTGCAAATCATGGTCTGTGTACATACAGTATTTAGTGGTTCTTTAAGTTCATAATTTCACTGCACAATTTGCTTATAGAGGGGATTAAATAAATAGGGGGACAGGTGATCTTTCTACATTGTAAATTACCATTAAGTCTACTTATGGCTCAAAAAGATTCCTTATCTGTGTTAATTTTATTGCTCTGCATTGCGTGTTTTATTTGAGTCATAAATATGTCTATAAGTAGCAATTTTTAAATTAAAAAAGAAGCAAATTTGACAGCTAAAGGTTCAAGGACTATCTAGACTATCTAAACACTGAATTAAAATTGTTCTGAAGTTGTTTACTCCCTGCTGATTTTGTTGCATCCATATGTATGAGCTTAAGGATTTTAAGTGATATGTGGGAGTAGATGATAATGTGCAAGTCTAGGAGGACTGAACCCTCAACATTAAAATTTCTATGCATGTTCTATCAGATTTCAGGGAATATGTGATGCAGTAAGGATTTGATAAGTTGATGTTTGGTATTTATAGGAAGGAATTGTAATTGCTGAATTTTGTATTCAGAATCTTGATGTCTCAGTGACTCTTTCATTACAGGAAGTATATTTAATAGCCTAGCATCCATTTTCATTGCAAAACTTTCAGTAGGAAATATGCCCTTTACTTACTGTGTTATTTTCTTATGGGTTTATGTTACACTAACAGCAATTATCGACTTTTCTATTCCAAAGAAAAATTATAACATTAGTTTAAAGGAATTGATTTTAGCGCTGTTATGTTATTGTCAAATTATTTAATAGAAATAATTTCAGGCCTGTTGGCTTTATATTATTTTAATGCTAAGTAATTATTTTTTTTCCTGGCTCCTCTTTCATTGTTTCTTCATTAATTGCTTCTAAAGTTGTTCCTTGAACAAGCACGATAGGTGAATTTAAGGACTGAACCTCTTTTTCAGTGTAATTAAGGAAAGTGTAGTTGAATCCCGCCTTAAGGAGCTGAATTCAGTCATTACTTCTGCCAAAAGTCCCCTGGACTTCCATTTTTAGGGGCATTTTATAAATGTTTGGGATTTTTTCTTATGTGTTGAGCATGAAGACTGACTTGCAGAAATACCATGTACTGTTATTCTCATTGAGGTCGATAGGAGCTCTGTTTAAATCATGTGATGATTTATATAAATGCATCTATTAGGTGTTCTGAAACACTTGTATTTGCAACTTTTGATTTCTCTGTCTTTATATAATTTGTTTCCTCTTCCATTGTTTCTTTCCTGTGCAGGATGTTGTCATATGAAAAGGTTTGCAGAGTATCAAATTGCAGTTGTGGTAAACACAACTGAAATACAGATGAAGAAACTAAAGAGTTTTGTTTTTGAGAATGAACTTGGGGAATGTTTTTGCAGACAGAGAGGACAAGATAATTTACTTAGTGATTAGCTCTGCTGCATTTTTTTTTTATTTTTTATTTTTTTCAAGTAATTGCACAGTATTAGTTATTGTAATTGAATTTGAAGACTTAACTTTGCAGCCTTGCTGTGTATTAGCTGTATACAATAGCTATATGCTATACTACATATAACTGTCTTCCAATCAGGGGTATTTTGGAGTGATTGACTGGTGTTTTGATCTGGTGTTTTCTTTGGAAGTGCTGAGACTCGTGTTATTCTTTGTGTGTCCTGACAGTCATCATGGCTTTCATTCTGGTAACTTAAGGTTTTTATGATGATGTAGCATTGTTTTTCTTTGTTTCCTCCTGCTGTTACTTTTGCGTCTTATCTTTGCAGTAATGGTTACAAAACCATTGCTCGTACAAAACCTTGTACTTGTTCATTAAGACAATGCAAATTTGAATTCATGGTCTCCTACTTAGCTATTTAATACTTCTAGTTTACTATCTCTTGCATCTCCCCTTTTTTGTGTGTGTATGTATGCCTGTCTTGTGTATTTTGTGCTGCTTAGCTTCTGAGCTTCATTAACTCAGTGGGATGGACTGTTTACAGTGTGTCCACTTCTCAGGGAAGATACGATGTTTCAATTGTCAGCCATGTACTTGTGGCAGTGCCTCAGAGACTTAGTCTCCATTTATCATGTCCCTCTTTCAAGAGGTCAAACTCCTAGGAATCCAACTGTATGGAATATTATGGAATATTTAGCAGTGAAAGTTTGCTGAGAGAAGTCATGGGGCATATAATACTTCATCCAAATGAGTAAAGTTCAAAAGGCAGTTCAAAATTCAAAGACTAAGCCTGAAACTGGGAAATGTCAAGTGAATTCAAGAGGTTGGGTAACTGATTCCATCTGTCTTGCAGAAGTCTGAGGCAGTTGAGGCAGTGCCTATGGACTCAATACTAAGTTAGCTTGAAGTTTTGAGTGCTTTTAAGATTTGAATAGATATCTGTGAAGATGCTGTGATATCACTGCTGCTAGTGTAGAAGTGAGAAAATTGCTTATTAAAAACCTTTGTTTCTCCTTTTTTTTTTTTTTTTTCTTCTTTTTCTTTCTATTAAATAAATACATCTTCTGAAATGATTGTAACAGTGGGTAATTGTTTTCATTTCCTGGACTTCCAGCCTCCATGTGTGGTTAGAAATTTTTTTTCATCTCTTCTTTTAGAAATAAACTTCCCACCTCAGAACAGTAGTATCCTAATTGGTTGTGATTTTTGTTCTTTATGTTTACTATGTTTGTTTAGACGGTTCCAATTTTTTAATTGCTAGCATTACAGTATTGAATTGCCAATTGCCTACCTGGGTGTAAATATTTAAAGTAACTCTACCTTCATCTTTTACGCAGTAGTTTAAAAAAGCCAGTATCATAATGTCGAAAAAGAGAATCTAGGTTTATGTTCAAAATGAAGTGTTAAGTCACTTCCATTGCTGCTTTCACTATAGCTTTGGGTTATCAGTTTGAGCACAGTGAGGCTGTATGATTTAATTCTAATAGATAACTGTGGTCAAGAGTTTACCAGTTACACTGGTAAACTGCCTAAACACTGCCTATGGCAATGCAAAAGTTCATTTTAATTTTCATGTATGGTCTGGTTTTCCTTGACTTCTTACATTGCATTATTAATATTAGAGTTCTGTCATTAGTTTAAATGTTTCTTTAAGGTATTTTGGAATCCTCAATATTAATTTTAGTTTCTAGTTCATGTATTTTGGAAATACAGCTGCTTTTACCCGTGCCTGATATAGCACATGTAAGCAGCTTGACTGTGGGCTTGTAGGTGTTGTAAAGTGTGATTCCAGCAGAGATACTAGGTAATTTCTCAACTTCATGTAGAGGATTTGTTGTTCACCTTGTGACTGGGAGAAAAAGTCTACTAAGTTACTGATCATAGTTACAGTAATTCAACTGTTTTTACCTCCAAAGAAATGAACCTCTCCTGTAGCCCTTTTGTTGTTTTTGTTGCTGTTTTGTTACTGTCCTCATAAAGGGGATGGTCTGAAGCATACTGCTAGATATGCTAGATGACAAAAAAGAAAAAAAAAAAAAAAAAAAAAAAAAAAAAAAGCCAGATGCTTCTTTTCTATTATCTGAAATTGGTTAGGCTTTGCCAGTGTAAGAGGCAAGACCAAAATTGAGTCTATGACGTCTTTTAGCTAGCTTATCCTTCAAACAGCTTTTTACAGAGCTGTTTGATAAGCTTAACACTACACTGAAGAATCAACCTGTCTTCTCTGAGTGAGTAGCCTTCTATTTCAGTAGTGTAGCACACACTCTCAAGTATGTATGGATTTTCTTAGACTGGGTAGTGTTCAGTTGCCTGCAAAATGGACCTACAAAAATCCTGGTGTTTGTTTTTAAACCGCTGTAAGATACTGTAGTTTGTAACTATAGTAACTGTTTGTAACTGCTGAAAGATACTGTAGTATCTTTCCTCTGAAGTCTTGAGCACAGCATGTGTTTGAATACTGCTGATGTGGAGCTGCTTTTGTTTACCTTTGTTTACCTTCATTATACTTCTTCTGATGTTAATTCTGGTGCATAATGGAGATTATATACTGGAGAATTTCTCAGTTACTGCTTCAGGGTGAGTGCCACCTGCTCCTGTGTTCAGCAGTTAAAGCTACAATTTGTACAGAAGTAAATATACCATTATCTCTAATGTTTGTTCTCAGCAGAACTCTGTATTCTTCACTATTTGACAGTGTATCTGGCCTAACCTTTTACTTGAGAGTAGCTTGACTCTTTTCCATAGGAGATGACATAATGTGGTTCCCAATTTGAAAGAGCCATTCTTTAAGAATTTCTTTCAAGGAGAAAATTGTATGCTACAGTCTCTAACTGAAAGTGCATCTGACAGAAGAACTGCTACAAAAATAGCTGTTATCACAGAACCGTTCTTTTTAGAGAAATACCTATCACAGTGGATGCATTCAAATAGAGATTATCCTTTAGTATAGGTATCTCTGGTACGTGCATGCATGCAGATAGAAAATACAAAATGTAACATGCAGTCAAAAGAGAGAATTTGAAGGTGCGAAGTGAGTGAAACTGAAGTTTATTTGTTCTCTGCTTTATACTGTTTGTATGGCATGTGGCAGTTAGAGAGTATTCTTAGTGCAGCAGTATGGATGTACAAAATTCACTGTTGGTCAATAGGGTGTTATTACAAAGGAAATAATTCTCAAACAAAAATTCCACCCAAAAATGAAGTGGAAGCTTAAATTCCCAAGAAATCTAAGCCTGTTCAGAAATGCAACCACACAAAGTGTCCAGAAATCTGTTTTGATACAATATTGATATAATATATGCGTGTATGTATTATAAGGTAATAAGAACTTGTGAAAATAATTGTAACATTGCAAGCTTCGTACTGCTTTGACACATTGTCAGTAGAAGCCTGTAATACAAAAATTTGGTATCAAACATCCATCTGGCATTTAATCTGTAGCATAAATGCCTAGTGGAATACTCTAACTTTGACTTACCTTTAGAGTGGTTATGAGATCTGGCAAATAGGAATCCAAAGAAAGCTACTATAACGTAAGAATTATTTCCTATACTGCATTTCAGTTAATATTGCTTTTCTTGCCTAGAAAGTATTTCACTATTTCAAAATTTGAGTTAGTTATGCTTCTACTTCAGGTACCATTATTAAGGCTGGTAGGGGAGGGGCGGGCATTACTAAATTACTAAATTACTAAAAGACTTTAATAAAATTTCCTTTTTTATCAGCTTGTAAGGGGCCTGTTGTTCACCTGGTAACAATAGTGTTCTGATCAGTAGTGGTAGCACCGATGTACTTTCTCATGTTGATAATTATATGATCCCCTTATCAGATTCTTTCTGCTTCCACATATGAGTATACCCATAAAACCAAAATTAACCAATATATTCATGTAACAGGTGAATAACCGGTCAGTTATATTCTGTGGGTGGGAATATGTGGCATGTGTGAAGTGTGCAGCATGTTCTCAAAATGTACGTGCCTTAAGAAGTATGTTGGCCTCCACTGTTTCTTTATTTGGCTTTATAAAGAGGTGGTTAAGCACAGAAATTCTCTCTTTGTAAGGTGATCAAATCAGTGTCATATTTGTGTGCGGTAAGTAAAGTGAATAAATATATATATATTTGTTCACGTACCAAAACGTTTCTTCTCTCTATCTATTTAATAAAATCTGACAGTGCTACAAGGAGTTCATGAAGGCTCTGAACAAACTGAAAAATGTAGCTGTTGGGCAGTTGATTCATACATTGGATCAAGCAACTTTATACTTAATTTTAAAAAAAATCTTCTTTTTTTTTTTTTTTCATTAAAACAAATACTGTAAGTGAAAAACAGTGGGAAGATATAAGATGGAAGAAAAGTCAAGGAGGATGATCTTTGTAAATTAACAAGTTCGCTTATCATCTTTTTCAATAATTCTTGTGTAATTTGTACTACAGATGCCTTTATTTTTGTGATTTTTTTTTTTAACATATGAATCTTTTTTTGATCCTTGATCATGTGCAAACTGACTTGTGTTAATTAAAGCACTCAGAAAAATATCGTGGGTTATCTAAAGCTAGAATTTAGTGCTGTTGTGCAGACTTAATGCTGAATGAAGCATAGTTCATATACAGCTTGTAACTAATGTTGAAGGAAACCCCAAACCATAAAAATAAACCCATAACAGAAATGAATTTATAGGATTAGCTACATTCTTCTTTCTTTAAATACAATTTTTTTAAACTTAGAAAGCATCTCCAAAAATTAAAAATTTAATACTGTTTTATTAAAATGACACTTTACTTATTGTTAATATTAATAATAGCTGCAGTTCAAATGAACATTTAACGTTCATTAATAAATTTTACCATCTTTTTTTTGCCACTTAAAAATGCATTGATGTTTTAACAGATTCTCAACATAGCACTTGAAATAGCAGTATTTGGAGACAAATTGAAAAAAAAAAAAATAAAGGTGGATTTCCTTATTAGGGAGGAACGTGCATCATTCTTTTGTTTAACAACTTGCTTCAACAGACTTTATTTTTGGGGGTACATTTGTTTTGGAACTTCTTTTTAAATTTTCATATACTCAACAGATTCTGAAGGAAGTGGTCATGGAAGTGAAGATGCATCAAAGGACAGTGGAGAAGGTTCCTGTACTGAATCAGAAGAAAATATCTTGGAGGAGGAACCAGCAGAAGAGAAAGTAGAAGAGCAACAGCCAAAGAGCTCTGCTGAAGAAGTGCCAACAGCAGACAAAGAGATAATTAAAACTGAAAGGAAAGAGCAAGAAGATGAAGAAGAGAAGCCAAAAAAGAAGAAAGAAAAAGAGAAAGCAGCTGAAACTGATCCTGTGGCTGATGAACAAGCAAGTGAACCAAAAAAATGGAATTTGCGCAGGAACCGACCATTACTGGATTTTGTGTCAATGGAAGAACTAAATGATATGGATGATTATGATAGTGAAGATGACAACGACTGGCGGCCTACTCCTGAGAAAAAAAAAGGGAAAAATGCACTGCGAAAAGAAGGGAGTGATGGAGATAATGAGGATGATGAAGATGATGGGAGTGGAAGTGATGAGGATGACAATGATGAGGAAGGTAACGAAGAAGATAATAGCAGCACAGCTAGTGATGGAGGATCCAAGAAGAAGAAGAGTAAAGTTCTTAACAGAAATAATGCAGATGATGAGGAACTGACAAATGATAGCCTGGCTCTTTCACAAAGCAAGAGTAATGAGGTAGTGCAACCAACTTTCTATAATATATCTCTTGAGAAATGGAAACTACTCTCCAGTGCTGTTCTGTTAATTTAAAAAGTTAAAACTGATTGGCTGGCATTGTGTTTAGAGGAATAAACAAAGCAGCAAAATTGGGCTAAATAAGCACTCACTGCTTATTAAATAATCTTGCTCGGACCATTTGGCCGATCCATTGCCACTAAAGTCAATAGGCAGACTTCTCTTGGTTTTAATGGGAAGGGCAATTGAATTAATTCTGAAGCAAATACAAGGTCTGATCTGCAAATCAGCATGTAACAGCAGAATATTTAGGTTAGATGTAGCACATCTATAATGTTATAAAAATTAGAACCATCACATTCTCATAATAGCTAAATAATAGGTTATTCTGTATCCCAGCCCTTCTTTGTCACAGGCATCAAAGTCTGAGTGCTAAAATTCTAAGTAAGTAAATATATACAGTTGGGTTTAAAATCTAAGGACAATCATGACAATTTATGTTGGTTTTACATATAATGCATACAAGTGAGGTAATTCCCTACAGTGCTAAGAAGCATTTGTGCGCTTGATCATTACAGTAACTATTTTCTATTTGTGGAATCTGACAATATTATGGTAAGTGTCTAATAATGAAACTTTCTTTTCCAGTACAACTACAGTTGCCTTAGAGGTTGAGTCCATGGAAGAATTAAAAGATAGTAGGTTGTCAGGATGGCTGACTTCTCCTCCAGTAGCAAAATCGTAAACAGAGTAAAAAAAAAAAAAAAAAAAAAAAAAAGTTACTGTAAAATCTACATTCTATTTTCAGGAAACAATTGCAGTGTAAATGAAACATTTGCTAAATTATAGGGTATAACAATTTAAAGTATTGCTGCTTCATTTAGACTTGATTTTAATGAAGACTAAGCAAAATAATTGGAGGAATCAGTGATCTCTGTTCAAGATTTTGATGTATATATTTATGTACGTATGTATAATTGCAAGCCAGATGTGCAGTTTTAATAACGAGATAATCAAATAATTGTTTAAAAATGCATAATTCTAGTGTTTTGTTTTTTTTTTTTAATTCTCTGTAGCTATCTACTTATAAATGAATGGTGATGCTTAGAAATATTGTTTACTATATTAGATGCTGCTTGGAGTAGTAATAAGTAATAGCAATAAGAGAATGTTCTTCTTATTTTTAAACTTGTATGCCGTTTACAGTCTGCGGACTTTCTCTTTATACATCTAAGCTGGTCTGTGAGATGGTTTCACTTTGGCAGATATAAAGATCTTTCTATCCTGATCAGGCTACTATTTATCTTTCATTATCAAGCTCTGTACAACACAATTCTTGTGTTGTTACCTGTACTGTCTTTGCTCAGGAGCTGAAAGGGCTTTGCCAGTATCAATGATGAGAACCAGGTCTTCATTGGGAGATGGATTATTTCCTTCCAATGTTGTTTTCCATATCAGAATGGAAATGAAATCTTAGATTGTTAGGGATATATTCTTCAAGATGTCCTAAATTTCCATTGACTTGGAAAAAGAAGCCTACTTCAGAGACTCAGAGCACTCTTAAAATGCATCTTTTGGGAACCTTAATATGCATATATTCCTCCTTGAATTTAAGACATCAATCAAAAGATAAAAATCAGAATTTGACATTTTACAGTTCGCATTAGAATTCTGTAACTGTGAAGCTGAATGCTGTTTGTGAACAGATCTTTTAGGTAAGAGTCTTTCAACAGTATCTATACACTAGATTCTAGAACTCATTTGCAGATTAATATTCAACTCTATTTTTAACAGCCAACACTGTGGGGGGAAAAAAAAAAAAGCTGTATTGCAAAATCTCATTGCGTTGCAGAAGCTAAGTTCTTAGAAAAACAGATGTCTTAAGGCATAATTACTGCATGGAAGATTGTTCAGGTAGTTAACTCTGAATATTGTAGTATACACTGTATATATTCTAATCCTTAGTATGCATTCTTAAATTCTTTGCGGCCCGGTTCCTTTTTTGATTGTTGTGCAGTTCTTTATTTTTCTGCACTTAAAATATTTTGAGGCGTGGATAGAGAGTCTTCTAACCTGTGCTGTAGTGAAATGCTGTGTGCTTATGTACTGTATTGAGCAGAGGCAGACAAACATAGCTTTCTTTTGCAAGGTCAAGCATCATTAGAGAAATGATACTTTCATGTTTTTTATAAATTGCTACCACTTCATGGGATTCTCTTATTCCTAGTGAGGTGATTGTGATAATTACTGTTTTTTAAGATCTCATTAAGTTTATAAATAGGTAGGCATATAGCTTGAATGAAGTCCTTATTCTCACTTGGATAGGGAACAGGAGTTGTTCGAGAAGTTCCTGCCTTTTTCTCAAAGTCTGTGTCCGTCTGCATGAAAAAAAAAGTTATTCTTGTCTGCATTTGACCTGTTGGCTTTCTGGCTTTCTTCACATAATGTAAATCAAGATAGCTGTGAATCCTAACTCTAGATCCGACCTTCCATCACTTTTTTGTTTTGCTCATGTTTGCGTATGTGTTTTTTTTTTTTTTTACAGTGCAGATGTGTGCATTTACTGTAATGTTTTTTGGTTTTTTTTTTTAGTTACTAGACTTTGGACTTCTGTGACAGGAGAAATTGCAAATTAATTTTAAGTTTATATTAATGAAGCCAAGTAATAATTTAAGTTGAAGGTATAGTCAGAAGAAACTGGTTTCTGGAGGCATGTGAGATGCTTCCAACAAGCTGGTGGTACTGAACTGTTAATCTGCCAAAGTTAGGGAGTATCTCCTATTTGAACTGTGTATATTATGTGCAATGGTGTGACACAATATTTTTGACAAATGCGTGCGAATTTCTTGCTTGACTCAAAGTACTTCATAGTTTCCTCGTAAAAGGAAGATGGAAGAAATGCTTAGTCAGCCTGTATTTATTAGGGGAAGAGCATGATCTTATGAGCAATTATGTTGTCTTTCATTTTTTTTTATTTTTTATTTATTTATTTATTTATTTATTTTACCTCTGGATGAGGTGGAATTTTTTAGTTTGTATTTTGTAGGCCATCTTTCTTTTCCTCAGGGAATATAGATAGGAGATTCCAAAACTAGAAGTATCTTTGCAGTTTTCTACAGCTTTCTAACAAGCCACTTCTATTTGGAATAAGCCAGTTGAAATTGGCTAGAAAAAACAAAGGTATCCCTGCCACCCTCCAAATACCTGCTCTGGATAAACCTGAAGTACAACAAGGCTTTATCAGTGATTCATTGAAAACTTTGAGCAGAGCAGAGACTGTATCAGATTGACAGACTACCATAGAGTAATAATTGCATAGACTGGTGAAAGAATTTAGGATCTTTGAGAAGGAATAGCTGTTTCACTTACCATTCATAATAATTTTTATCTGCTTTGGATATGGAAGCGCTGTATTGGTACTGTGTGGCTTTTTTTTAATTATTATTATTCATTAATAGGGGGAATGGAGTGGAAAGAGGAAAAAAAAGTTTGAAAGGCAACTTTCCACCTCAATTTTTTTTTCCACCTATTTAATACACTGCAGCACTCTTGTAATATTCTCAGGCCTTTAGTGTGTTGAATGGATGCCATTTAGCCCTGAACTATCAGCCTCTGCTCTGAAAGTCTTAATTTCTTCTTTTTCCTACTTTTTTTTCTTTCAGCTGTGTGTCTAGTCCCTGTAAGCCTTCATATCACCAGCGAAGATAGTCCAAACTCTGTTTGCTTTTAGTATAGGAAAGAAGAAAATTTACATAAGTTATGAAACTTTTGTGTGAGAGACAGTCAGTATACCTCACTGAAATAATAAGAAGCTGAGGTCATGGTATTTATGGAAGAAATGGAAATTTACATCCAACTTTATTTGGTTTGTGAGGTACTGCTTTGTTTCCTTAAAGAAACTCCTTTTTAAAAGGGAATTCTTTGAGCAGTGTAATACACATTGAAGGTTGCAAAAATGAGCATTGGACTTCCATGCATATCCTATAAAAGAAAATGAATTGTTTTAATATATCATGCAGTTTTGCATAGAGGCATATACATTTGCATGTAACAAAATAAAACAACTGAGTCAGTAAGTTGTTACACTTTATTTACGTGAAGACTCATCAGGCTTTTGTTAGCTCTTTTTTTTTTTCAAGTTTTAATACAGCAACACAGAAAGGTTGTTTGTTTTTTGTCTGTTTTTTGTTGTTGTTTTTTTTCCAACAAAGGGAATCTTCCTTTCTAAATATTAGGATATTGAAGGTCACCTTTTTTTTTTTTTTTTTTTGGTGGTCCTCTTTTCCTTTTTAGATGGCTTTCTGTTGTGTTCCTTGTTAGTGTCAAATATATGATTTCAGTACAACCAGAACTACAAACCTAGCAAGATCAGATTGTATCCATTCCAGCTTTTAATTTTGTGGATGAAGAGTTTGAATGTTTTGACAAGAAGTGCATGAGGCTTTTTGTTGTTCTTTTTTCCACAAAATTGAACAAATAACAGTTCTTCTGTTCTACATAAAATTGAAGTTCCTGTTGTAATTCATGTGCATTCATTTTTTGATATTAGGACTCCTTGATCCTTGAGAAGTCCCAAAATTGGAGTTCCCAGAAAATGGACCATATTTTGATTTGTTGCGTTTGTCTTGGAGATAACAGTGAAGATGCTGATGAAATAATCCAATGTGACAACTGTGGAATAACAGTGCATGAAGGTAATACAATTCCTTCATTGTTAATGCATGAAGAAAGCATAAGCTTTACTTCTATTAAAATTTTTACTTGCTTCAAAAAAAAATTAAGCCTTTGAACTCTGGTGAGTAATTTTTTGTAGTGCCACATGGATTCTTTGTAGTATTGCATTCATCTATTTTAGGAAAGCTAATACAAGCAAGTATAGGATAGGTCATGGTCTATGTATATCTGTGAAATTGATGACATTTTGCTAATGCTTCTGACTATAGATTGTATTTTCGAGACTTTAGGATTTAATATCAGATGAAATTCTGTCTATTTCAGTATGCAAATTTGATTGCATGATTGGGTAGAAGATAGTGAGAATAGGAGAATTCATAGGAGAAAGGGACTTTTGCATGTATTTTTGCTGTATTAAAGAGGCAGAGAGATGAGAAAAGAATTGAATGTGGCAGCTAGCCTTGGCCTCTAATTTTTAATGGCCATTTTAAAGTTAAAATTGTTGATTTGCTAATTGCTTTGGCATCTAGTAGATGTTTATATTAAGTGTAGGAGGTCTTTCCTACAGTATATGGGGGAGGGTTTAAGAAAAATGATCTGATATTTGCTGTGAATACTGTTCTGAAGTATTAACTTGGTTGCAATTTTCTATGATTTGTTGATATACTGGTAAGTTAAAAGATGATCTCAAAAGATGAGAAAAATAAGTTTCTGTAGTCAAGTGTTCACTGATGTTTTTTAAAGGAGCGCTTCCTGGGTGATCATGAGATGAGCATGTGGAACTTTAATGGTCCTTATAGGAAAGATGGGACTGATTGTTTTTGCTCTTTTTCTTGAGGATGGAAGATAAAGTAGATAAAAATATAGATAGGCATACATACTTTTGTTGAAATTTAAATTCTGTATTCTTGACAACTTAGTTTTCTTTTTAATGAAAACTTTTTATTATTTCTGCCATCCTGTACTATTCTCCTTTTAAATAAGATAGGCTACTTTTAATCCTTGAAGTTAAAAGAAGGTAGACTTCCATTCTTCAAAGGCATGAATGATATTTATATAATCTGTGTAATTTATGCTCTTTTAAAATTTGTTGGAGTTGTTCACTAGTGCATGACTTTTCATGTAGGAAATGCTTTTCCTTATCTGCTATTCTACTTTTGTTTTCACACATTTAAAAATGGTTTCAAAGCAGTATTTTTCATGTACTCATCTGTGGTTCAATTCCTTGTTTAATACCAATTAGGAAATGGCAGGTGGAATTCCATCCTCGTTTCTAGATACCTACTGCTCAGTGTTGAAATGTACTGTAACTCCTAAATTCCTGTTACAGTCCAGATCTCCCTTCACTCTTGTTCCGTGTAGTTTGGCTTTTCTAGCACAGCTAGCTTCCCTCTATGCATACTCTGTGCACCTGAGTAATTGGTACAAGTACCTTAGCCACTAGATTTAGTATTTGCCTGCTCAGTAATGATTTGCATTCCTTTTGATTTGCTCTCTTGCATTAATTGCATAATGTCTTCCATAGGAAGGAAGAATGATAACTCATCTGGGAGTAACTTTGTCAGAGCTCTGGACAAACGTTGTTATTATTTGGTCTACAAGATGTATAGGGAGATTCTAGTTTGGACATAAGATTGTGGGTGGCTAATGAACTCTTTGTTTGGCTTACTGAACAGACATTGAGATTGTTAGAAATTTATTTCCTTTTAGGGCAACTCGTATCATATGATACATATGTTCGTATCATATATGATACGACTCATCCTAAAACTGCCTTTCTGGTGCAGACAGCTTGTAAAAACTCAGTCACGTTTGAAAACCAAATGGCATTTTTTTTTCTAGTCAGGAGTCTGTAACTACTCCATAACCTACACAAGCAGCATACATGTATATACTAATACCCAGTCCTATAGTTGACATTTTTATGTCTAAAAAAATCTTAAGTTCAGTCTGCAAATTGTCGCATTCATCAACTACATCTGTTCTCAATTCACATATTAATCCTTTTTTCTTAAGGGGAAAAATAGCAGCTTATATTGCTAGAAAAAAAATATCTTTTGAATTTGTAGTTGTACAGTTGCTTGTGTATTTATTTCAGCATGCAAATAATTCTCATTTATTTTTCAAAAAAAAAAAAAAAAAATCATCTTCAGGCAGTATTCTGTCACTTTGGATAAATGCTTTTGTGGTAAGATCTTGTAGTAGCAGGACACCCCCAACTGTGATGTCAGTTGCCATGACATATTGATTGCAGTGTGTCTGAAGAGAATGTCTGATGCATATCATAAGATATGAACTAACTGTAGATAGTATGCTTGCCAGCTATTGCCTTTGTGTTATTTGCTGGGAATTAAACAAGAAAGAGAAGTTCCACTTTTTTCTAGCTGTTACTTTTCCATCCCCTCTGTTTGTTCTTTTTTTTTTTTTTTTTTTTTTTTTTACTTTTGCATGGTGAGTATGGTGGGAAATAAAGCTTAACTTGCTAGAAGCAGTAGTGTAGTCTACATGTGCTTTAATTTTGATGCTTATTATTTAATTTTGATTGCTTACGTCTGATGTAAACATTCATTTTTGTCTTGTTATGTACTCTAGTACTTTCCCTTATCTAAATAAAAATAGTCTTATTGTGCATGGTTAATGTCTTTATTTTAAACTTCTGATCCAGTTAAGGACTGAATGTAATATTGTTATCTCACAGCGTTTCTTTTTGAAAACCTACAGTTCACCAAAGTTCATGCTTTCATGAACTTTATAATTAGATCAGGATTTGAAGTATACGTGACTGTTGTTAGCATATGCAGACATTCAGTTTGGCAAAAGATTATCCTTGGAGAGAAGATTCTCTCTTCCCTTTTCCCTCAGTGACATATGTTTCAGGACACTTGCTTAATGCTAGCATCTTAAAGTGTTTGTAATTTCATTTTAATGATAATGCATAAAAACAAGCTAATGGCAGTATGCGGTGGATTTAAATTCAGGAAATTCAGTTTTCTGTATGAAATTATGTTCAGTAGACAACTGCAGTCATAATATGTAGATTCAGGTTGTGGAAGAGTAAATGCTAGGAGAATTTCAACTTCTTGACTATTTCATATATTTAAATTCATGGGCTTTGCTATCATATAGCTTTATTGTTTAGTGCAAGAAGCTTTCAAGGAAATGGCAGACATAGAGTGACAGAATAATAAGGATTACTTATATTAAACATGGGCACTTCATGAGCACTGATTGAGAAGAGGCTCTCATAGTCCAAAGAACCAAAATTCTATGAACAGTAAGGAAAAACAGTATGCGTTTTCAGTTAAGTGTTTAAAATGTTGGGGGTTTTATAGTATAGTTTCAGGTGAAAGGGGTAGATGGTACACTTAATGCTGACTAGATTCCAGATGCAGTAACTCCAATGAAACCTATAGTTTTCATTACAAGAATCATCTTTTTGTTGTTAGCCTTTCAATCCCAAGCTAGTTACACCACCTAAACAACTGTGCTGCATTGAGAAAGAACCTGGAAGATTACCTCCTAATGTTGCTTTTGAGATAGAGTGGTAGTGAGCTGTTACATTGCTTTCTGTTTCAAAAACCACAGTTCCCAACAGTTAGTACAGGAGGGTCAGCTATAACAGCTTTGTCATGCTTATCATAGTAAATGTTCAAGAAAAAGCTTGGAAAGACTTGTCCAGCAGCTTCAGTTTCATGTTTGTGTGCCTATGCATTTTAAAGAGACATAAAAGTAGCACTGAGAATCTTTTAAAAGGACTTTTTTTTAATCAAATGCTTTCTGTACTGTCTGATTTTAATATACAAAGTGTGTTGTAGCTCTGCAGTAGAAAACACTTTTTATTTTTTCAACTTAAAAAATGATGTATGTCTTTTAGGATGGTTGTTAAACTGTTATTTGAAATTAATTGACAGTCATTAAAAGTGTGGTTTAGCTTAGGACTGCAAATCCATCTTTTTCATCAGTATTAATTGATGAATCCTGCTTAGTATATTTACTTGTTTGTATGTACTTGATAAATAGTACACAGTTTGTGTGCATATAACATTTCATTAACTGTTTTGAAAAAGTAATATTAATCCGATCAATTTAGGCTTTCAGTTCACAGTTACTATTACAACTAATGATAGCAAGAGGAAAATATGAACTCAATATTGAGAAACTTTGAGAAATGTTTTTTTCTAAATGTTGTTGCTACTCAGCAGCTTTCTTTACCTTTGACAGAGTTTGCAGCTGTTTGGCTTTTACTTAAGCTGAAATTGAGATTTTTAGCCCAGTCCATACATTTCTACAGTAGGGTTTTGTGCTTTTGTTTTCTTATGTCAACTGAAGTAAAACTGAGGGGATTTGTTGTTTCTTGTTTAAAAAATAAAAAATTGTTACAGCTCTTCCTGTACATTTGTCATCTTGATGTCAAATAATATCATTACTATTTTGTGTAGTATTTACTTTATTTAGAAGCCAGTAGCATTCTTGCTGGATTTCCTTTCCTTCAGCTCTTCTAGACAAGATCAGGCAGCTTAGGACCGCACAGCTGTTTACTCACTCCACCTTTCTTTCCTGAAGGAATGATTGAATTAGAAAATTAATGAATAGAAAGTTAAAACATGTGGGTTGTGATAAAGGTGATTTAGTAGGATAGAAAAGGTAGGGAAAATAATACTGATAAAAGAATATAGAAAATAATGATGCACAGGGCAATTCCTTGCCACCAACTGATGATGCCCAGCCACCCCCCAAGCAGCAGCAGTACCCACCCTGGCCATCCCTTCCTCCAGCTTTATTGCTGAGCATGATATTATATGGTATAGGGCATCACTTTGGTCAGTCTGAATCAGCAATACTAGGTCTGGCCCCTCCCAACTCCTTGTGCAGCCCCATTTTCTTCCTGGTATGACAAGATGAGTAAGTAAAAAGTCTTTGGCTATGTGTAAGCACTGCTCTCTAATAATAAAAACATTGGTATAATATCAATGTTATTCTGATCTTCAATCCAAAATATAGCACTATACCAGCTACTGGGGAGAAAATTAACTCTGTCCCAGCTGAAACAAGGATGTCAGCTCTTACTGGAAATCCAGTGTATTTTCTCTGGCTAATGACCATCACTTTTGCTGCTTATAACAGTATATTTAGGTTTTGCTGAATGACAGGGGAAAGACTAAATGCCTCCTTGTGTCTGTTATAGATCTTGAAGTCTTTAAAGCTGTCACTAAGACAGTTGTGTGAATTAGGAAAAAATACTTGAGTTATAAATCCTCATGAGAAAATGACCTAGATTTGTGGTGTTACAGAAAAAACAATTTTGATGTCAACATACATGATAAGGGTGGAAATAATTACAGCTAATGCATGTTGAAGTTTTCTAGGAAAAAGGAGCAAAATATTAGCTAGAATTGAGTGATAAGTGTAACTGGCAAATCCTTCAGAGTGAAGATACGACACCATTGTAATTTTAGTAGACTGATGATGCTTTGTTTAGAAAAGCAAATGTAATTACACTTGATTGCAGAAGAGTCACTGTTTGGAAGAAACTAATCTTATTTTGCTGTATTGACTGATGACAGTATTTCTCCTCCTGTAGTGTTATGTAATTTTTAATAAATTTATTTAAGGAAATGTTTTGTTTTTTTTTTTAAAGTCTACAGACTGTTCTCAAAGTCTAAATTTTTCATCAGCTATATGATATCAGTGGGCTTTGTGTTTGTACATTAATGTAATTGTTTAAAAGGTGCTTTGCTGGCAGTTATTCAACACTGTGGCATTACAACTTAAAAAAAAAAAAAAAGGCTATCTACAATGCTTTTTAAAGCTACTGGGTTGCTAAAGAAATTTGAATCAGTTTACAAGTGAGCTAGATGGTATTTTGTATACCTCATGCAACTTGTCTGTGGATGCACTTCTGAGCATTATTTATCTCTTGATTCTGGAATACTTCTAATTAAAAAAACAAACAAACAAAAAAACCCAGAACATACTTTTGTCTTAGTTAAGTATTTATTGATGAACCCCATGCTGTAATGGAGGACTGTATTTCTTATATGGTACCTATAGTGTTTCTAATTACTTTCTGAATATAGTTTTACATTATTATCTCTGTTGCTGTTGTAAAGAGGGTTAGAGCACTGTTGCTGTTCTACTACAGTCAGTAGAGAACCAAACTAATAAATTACATTTCTATTTAATTATAAAAATTAAAGGATTTAATTGCTCTGCAAGCAAAATTGCTACTTGATCATTCTTATCTGGCAAACAACTGAATTTAATCTTTCAGTAAGGTCTCTGCTTTGATGTTGACAGTGAAATTCTTTTTTTTTTTTCCTCACTGAGCAGCAGATAAATATTCAGTGTGGCATATGCAGAAGTATAGTTTTCTGGTGATAAGCTTTGTCATTTACAGTAGTAGTAATACCACTCTTACTCTTGTCCAAATTTGTCCAAAATTGAAGTAACAAGCTTCTAAATCATTTTGAAGGAAAATTTTCCTGACCTTATGGTGATTAAGCATGCAGTAACACCTTAAAAACATAAAAATACACTGACTACACTGACTATACCAAAAAAAAGAATTGAGACACGATGAATTTAATCATAATTTAAAACCAGCTAAAAGTGGTGATGATGATTGATGAATATATAAAAACGTTTTTAAGTGAAACGGTCTGTCAAAACTCAATTTGTGCTTGTCAAACAATACTTTGATTTTAAAGTTACAAAAGGTCTTAGATTTATGCTTCAGGGGTTTTAAGAATACGTTTGGTTTTTCTTAATGTGTATGTTCTCTTGCTGAATTAGATATTGAATGTGAAGCAGAAAAGTGGAATGGATATTTGTTGTCTGCATACTGGTGGCATGATCAACTCGTTTAAAAAAAAAAAAAGATAACAAAAACGTTTAATTGAGAGTAATGAGAGGGAGAAAGATAGGAATGTCTTGAACCTTGGACATGCTCTCAAACCTTTAAATCAGTGATACACATGGATTCATGACATGCTGCTAGTACTGGAGAATTTTAGAAACCATGTTATAGTTTGGTAAGACTGTTAATTTAACTGAAAGTAAAGTTTCCAGGCTGCACAAGAAGATGTGTAGATAAGCAGAAGCTCTAGAATTGCCACAGTGGAGGAAAGATATGTAAAAGATCTAACAGGATAATAAATAGGCTGAGAATTGTCTAAAGACAGTAAGAAATAACATATTTCAGTATTTTATAAAATTTCTTAAATTTTTCCTCAGATGTTATATTTAATCTGAAATACATGCATTTAATTGAAAAAAGTGCTTTGTTTCTTGCTCAATGTTTGTGGGTTCTTTTAAGTCTTAGATTTTTACTTCATAATGAATAGGCTGAAAGAACAGAGTAAAGTAAACCTTTTCCTTTCATTTTTTGATTGCAATCTAAGACATTCCTATATAATATATCACATTTTAGAATTAGAGCCTCTGTGAAAATAGAAGTTTTGCACTGAAGTTACTCTTGCGAAAATATTGGATGCTTTCTTGGGATTTTCGTTGTCATTAAACTGTGTGTGTGTGTGTGTGTCTGTATTTCCTGCTGAAAATTATAAACTAAGAACTGTATGCCTACTTGTCTTTCCTTATATTTTCTTCCATTTCTTTTATGTGTGAAGGTTGCTATGGTGTTGATGGAGAGAGTGATTCTATCATGAGCTCAGCTTCAGAAAATTCCACTGAACCCTGGTTTTGTGATGCATGCAAATGTGGTGTCACACCTAGTTGTGAACTATGTCCTAACCAAGATGGGATCTTCAAGGAGACAGATGCAGGCAGGTAAGGCTGAAGAAGTGCCATTTTAAATTGATATCAGCTTAAATTTAAAGGTGGGATTTTGCTCTAGTCTATTCCTATAGGCAGAAGAGTCATAAATTAAGCTGTTAGTATTCTTTTTCTCAGTTCATTTTAGAGTGGGGTGCTCGCTGGATAGGCAGTCACCCAATTTTTTTTTTTTTTTTTATTTTCACACCAAATATTCTTCACACTAGTTGGGGAGGTGTTGTCTTAAACTGAATTTGAGCATGATGCTTTATTGATGTATGAGCAATGATGTTGATGTTGATTTTCTAAGTAAAGCAATATGGCACCACTTCAGGAAGTGGTAATACTTATTACCCAACATGAAATCACCATGTATTGTATGTGTAGAGATGTCTTACTGGATATGGTAGATCTTTCTCATGCAATATCTTCCATTTCTTTATATTTAAAAAATAAATTAATACATGAGTGTTAATGGAAACTTATTTTCTGCAGTAAAGAGAAGAGCAGAGTTATCAATTATGTCTGTTTTTTGGCTAATGTTGATGAATATATTATTATTTAGATCGCAGCAATTAAGTTATTTTTCCATACATTTTACAATTATGTAAATTGCAGGTTTGCAGCGACATATGAAACTTTCAGGCTTGATATGTAGGATTGCAGAAGTCTGCAGACATCTTACTGACGATTGTGGTTGAATTGGAAGAAATTCTGGTATTAGTACAAATGTTTTAAAATTCAGCCCTTTCATGTTATTCAGTGTGAGCCAATAGATACATGACCATTTACATGAAGCTATATGTTATGGTACAACATATTTGGTAGTAGCAAATAGCGAAGTATAAACATATTCTTGGTCTTTCTCCATCTACTGGGTTGTAATGGCCTTCACAGTTTACTGTTTTTTGTGCTTAAACACAAGGAGTCATGTTTAGATGACTTTAACTGTCTTGTAATGTAAGCTAAAACATTTTTTTCTCCCATTCATGTCTTTCACAAACTTGTACTATTGCTGGGACTGTAATGGACAAATCCTCTCCTCCTTAAAAGATCAGCAGAGCTCTGGATGGTATTTTGGAAAGCTTTGTTTGACATCATCTTTGGAGAGCAACTACCTTCCTGCATTGGACTTCAGCTTCTCAATTTGTAGCTGAGATGTGTCTTACAGATACACTTGTTAAATCTTTTCCTCAATCCGTGTCTTCCACATACATCTTATGAGGGGGAGCGCTGAAAATACAAGAAAATAATGTACTGTTAGTGGGGGGAATTTCTATAAATGAGTCAAGATTTGCAGTGAATTTGAAGTTGTTCTTGTTTTAAAGAATTTTTGGGATTCCAGTCCTCAATTTCTGATTAGTCCATCTTATACATAATTTGCTCCAGAAGTAATGTCTCCTATTGATTTTCATGGAAATTACGACAGAGACAGAGAACACAGTAACACTACTTGATAGAGAAAATTCTCAGCTACAAAACAGTATTTTTTTTTTTTTTTTAGTAAAGTCACCACCTTTAGCTATGCATTTCATCCAGCAACGGAGACCAGCCTGCATGCTGTACTTGTAAAATTATGTACCAGTGGAGGTGGCCCACTGTTGCCATAGCTGAAACACCACCCACTGCTTCACTGTGCTAGTATCCACTAGTTGGTCTCCACAAACGTTAGGCAGGCATTGATGCATAATGGGTGCCATTTCTTCTGCACAGAGAAATTTAGTAATGCAGCTTAGCCTCTAATGCGTGTCAGACTGCCCCTCTACCGCCATCTGTTGCGCAAGATAAAATGTAACAATGTATTCACCTAAGGGTTCGGTTCCACTGCCCTACTGCCAATATCCACTTCCGTTATTGTGGGCCAACATAATAAAACAGGAGGTGTTACTTTTGGAGCTGCTCTAGTGTAACTGTTACAATTAATTTAAACAGTTTTTTTTTACTTTCATAATGTTACAGTGTGGACAAAATGTTACTAGAGACTGAAATCACTTGTCTGACAACTTGGTAGTACTAGAATTAATATCACTTGGAAATATATGTTTCAGGTTTTTTTTTTTTTCTCCTGCATTTTTTAAGGTAGTTTAATTGCTATCTAGTTAATTTCTCATATAATTCTAATATAAATTGCGCAACATTTTAAACATTATTGCTTGAAATTTCTTATAAAATGGCAGCATGTTTTTGATTGACATAGAAGTGTTTTATCTGTGATTCTGATACTTTATGCAAAAGCACATGCCTACTTGGTTGACTGTGGACAGTAAAGTATCAGTTTATTATCCCTGCTATTGTATTTTTGTGTTTGGGTAACATGATATGTTGTCATGAGTAAGTAGAGGTTTACTTACAGGCAGGAGGGTAGGTTCATGTACTAGAAAAAAAAACAATGCTAGCCAATGTAAATAATACTGTTCTCTCTTTTTTTCTGTTGCTCATTAATAAATTTGAAATCTTTAGGAAATGAGACAATGCAAGCTAAGGATGTATGCTACGTCCATTGCTATGTTTCTTTATATGCATCATTGGCTGGAAATTGCAGTAAAGCGCAACCAAACCTATTCAGTTTCCTTTCATAATCAAGTTAGAATTATTTTTTTGTTCCTACATGAATCATTAGAATAATTAGGTGCTTAGTTTCTCACAGAAGCCTTTTCACATTAACCTCTCAGTTTCATGACCATAAATGTGAATTTATGAAATTTTATTTCTCAAAATGCTATTAACCAAGAATATGAATTCTGTTCTTGTTATGGTGTAGAGTTTTTCTTCTTCCCTAATCAACATCTGTCATCATTGCTCCAAGCAAAATGGATGGTAAAGTAACAAGGAAGATTATTCTTCTTTGATTACCCAATTTGTCTTAATTACAATCTTCTAAAACATGTGCAGCTAAACAAATGAGCGGGAAAATATTTAGAACTGGTATTAAAAGCAGCTGAAATTGCTTCAGCTGAGAACTTGACTGATTTCTTTGTTTTTTAGTAAAGATTCAAGTCTGAGTTCTCGTAAAGGTGACTAAAGGAATGAGGTACTTGTGTGCCAATCACACCAAAATGGCAGTTTACATCTGTAATACTGTAATACTTGGGTGATGTGTACTAAAACATTTTGAGAAGGTCAATATGAAGTAAGTAGCCAGCTATTGGATTTGCCATAGATAAACTCCTACTGAGTGCAGCAGCATTTAATACACTACTGGAGCGTGAAAAAACTGCAAGTTAAATTGAGAGGCAGATGCTTGTAGAAAAGTGTATCTTTACACTGAACTTTGGAGGGTAAGTTTTAAGGCAACCAGTATCCTAAGCTTACTATCAAAATCTTCAACCAGAGCCTTGTGTGTGTTTTTTTTTTAAGAATAGTAATTGTGAGTATATGTAACGTCCTTTTATGCAAATTAATTTAAAGCATCTTAAATCAATGAAGGTATGTAGAAAAGAAGCCTAACAGAATTTACAAGACTTTTATTAACATCTGAGTGATCTCTGTATTTCAAGGGTACAAATCTTATTTTGCATGTGGCATTTTTGGAGGGCAAAATTAAAAAGTAGTATCTTGATTTCTTTGTGAAAAGAATAGGTTGTGCGTTCATGAAGATGTGGTGAGGTGCTGGAACAGGCTGCCCAGAGAGGCTATGGATACCCTGTCCCTGGAGATGTTTAAGGCCAGACTGGATGGGGCCCTAGGCAGCCTGGTCTAGTATTAAATGGGGAGGTTGGAGGCCCTGCATGTGGCAGGGGGGTTGGCGATTCATGATCCTTGAGGTCCCTTCCAACCCTGGCCATTCTGTGATTCTGTGATGTTTTTCTGAGCCTTGTGGAATACAACAGAATGAACTGATTGGTGCTAAGGCTTTGATTAGATTTACTAAGCATTCCTTAGAATGAAGTGAGTTAATGACTTGTAGGTAGTTGTTAATGTTACAGGAATTTTTATCTTTGGTGGCCCTGCTAGGCAGGGGGGTTGGAACTACATGATCCTTGAGGTCCCTTCCAAACCGGGTGATTCTGTGATTCTGTAATTTTTATCTTACTACCTGTATGAATTTGTAGCTCCAATCTTCACTTCCACCATCTCACCCTATTGGTCTGTCTAGGTTTTGTAGGTAATGTCAAAATCTTAATATACTTTTCCTGCAGCATAAACAGTGATGTGAAACGTTACTTAAGAATCATCAGAACAGAATGTGAGGGTATTCTTGTTGATCCAGACAAGCAAAGCAATCACAGTTGTACCAAAAACTTGCTGCTATTCGTTTTTAGCTTTTAAATTCCAAATGCACATTCCCTCCCTGCTTCTAATGTGTTTTCACTTAGATCATCTTTTTCTAGCATCTGTATCGTTTACACAGTACTTAAAAATCTGCAAATGATGAGCGTAATATGGGAACAAAATACTGATAACAGTAATCTAAATTTATTTGCTGTTTTAGGTGGGTCCATATTGTTTGTGCCCTCTACGTTCCAGGAGTGGCATTTGGAGATATTGACAAATTGCGGCCAGTAACGCTTACAGAAATGAATTATTCAAAGTATGGTGCCAAGGTAAGTTAAGAAGATTCATATTCCTTACCAGTAGCTTTATTTCACATTTTTACATAGAAATAATATGTCTTCAATCTTATTTTGTGTTTATAGCAGTGAGATTTACAAAGGAAAATGTGATAAAATTCATGTTTCCTGTAATTTTGCTCATCCCTCCTTTTTTTTTTTCTTACAGCTGTTTTTTTTCCCTTATTGTTGTTCTCTGTAATTTCTATTGCTCTTTGTCTCTCAGTTTCCCTTATTTTTTTTTTACACAGGTGTCAGTTACCTTCTTTTAAAGTCAGTTAGTGGCAGATTGCCAAAATGTGAATGGAGAGAGAAGAGGATTTATGGGATGTGAAATGAAGGAAAGGAAATTGAGGTGGAGGATTTGAGGATTAAGAAAGATACAGATGTATATTCAGTAAGAACTACTTTAAGTTCTTTGTAATCATAAACTAGAATGCATAGGGTTGCTAGAAAGCAATATTAACCTCCTTGCACCACCAGCATGAAAACAAAATAAGAGTATGGGACTCTAAACCTGAATGGAAAATTGTCTGTAATATTAAAAAGTTTTTTTACATATAAATATGCTCAGTTGTGGTCGAAGGTGGTCGTACACAAAACATACAGAAAGTCATTGTAAATGGCAAAGACCAACACTAATTTGCTTGATATTGTTGCTATAACCCTGGAAACATTGCAGAGAATCTATATTTGCTGGGCTAATGTAAGGAAAGATAGCTGTGCTACTGCTTCTCTAATGCTTAATTGATGCATTGTAAATTTCCTAGGGTGTCAGTTTGTCAAGCTGAATACTAAATTAGAATATGTAATAACCGTTTAAAAATACAGAAACTTTAAAAGATAAATTAAAGCACTTTGGCCTGCATGGTGCTTCTTTGTGTGAGGAGCACAGTCAACATGAGTCCACTGGGGTATTTAGCATTGCTTAGAAATGTTTGCTAGCTTTTTTGCCTCCCCACCCCCCTTTTTTTTTTTTTTCCTTACAAAGTCTTACAGCCTTATTGTTGCAGTGAATCATACGTGTTCCTTTTATTGGCATTATAGGTGCAAGGTTTACTCTGAGTGAGATGAGTGAACTGCACGTATGAGGATTCATTACTCTCACAGAGCTGTAAACTCTCCTTGTTTGTCAAATCAAGTGTGGAAGTTACAGCTTACTTAGCTGAATTTCCCCCTGGAGTATTGGTTTAAAATAATAATATATGATTCAATTAGTTTATTTTCTGTTATGTGTTATTTTACAGATAGAGTGCCTTTTAAGGAAGTGTCTGCAGTGTCTCGAGAATGTTCTGTCACTGAATTTCGTTTGCATTTCCTCTCTGTTGTTCTTTAACTATCTGCATGGAGATAATTTCTGTAGGTGATACACAGCTTTGCTTCATACTCAGCGTGTGAGAGATTAAGAAATACACGGCTGTGTAATTTTAGGTCATCTTTACGCACTGGATAGCAGCATTGCTCCCATTTGCTTATTCCTGCTTAGGCACTCATTGCTTTAGTTTGCTGGAACAGCTGTTCAGTATGAATTTGTGGTGACTCAGACCAAGGAACTAATCTGGCTAAGTTTATATTTTTTCCAGGCCATATTAGTGGATAACAGTTTGCTGTGTTGAAAACAGCTATGCTTAGAATGCATGTAGCCAAAACCTTAATACTGTGCTTATGTGAATTGTAAACTTATTTATTGATATTTACATTTCTGTGTTACTTTTTCATCCATTGTCACCCACTAGCTACTGATTCATAGCTTATCAAAAGAAAGTTATGTAGTTATCTATGGCTTTCAGTCATCCAGAGGATATAAGTTCATCCTATATGTTCTTAAGATTGTTTAAGCATTTTTCTATTGCTTCTTGAAAATGAGGTCAGTTGTTGGGGTTTGGTATTGGTGAAGCTTTAAATATTGTCATATGTTAGCAACACACCCGGTTCCTGTATTGAGCTGGAGTTAACTCATAACCTGTTTGATATCTCTATGTAAGAAGTAAACAATGAAATATTAAGCAAAATGCACCTACAGTACTTAGTGTAACATTTTTCTACCCTTTCTTATTCAGGAATGCAGTTTTTGTGAAGATCCCCGTTTTGCCAGAACTGGAGTATGCATCAGTTGTGATGCTGGGATGTGCAGAGCTTATTTCCATGTGACCTGTGCTCAGAAGGAAGGCCTGCTCTCAGAAGCAGCGGCAGAAGAGGTAGTTCTGGTGTACCTATGGAAAAGATACAATCAAAGGGTTGCATGAAAAGCCTGTGAGGAAAGCCTGAAATGCTGCCCTTCTTATTCACTATTTCAGAGTCAAGTGGTAGGCCAAGGAAAAGAACTGTGCGGAGAGGGCTCTTTGTTCGTGAAATTCTCCAACTCTGACCATCTTTTGAAATGACACAGGAAAAGGAATAGAGAATGTTATACAAAAGTCAGCTTAATATTGTGTAGATAAATGAGGGATGAACTCTAAATCTATTTATTGAACTTCACCTGGATTGACGTGTCACAGTGTAGTATAGTATTCTCTGTTTCATAAACTATACGACTGTCTAAGACTGTACAGATGTCTTAAGACATTTAACTGCATTGCTATTTTTGTGCATTTCTTCCAGTGTTTCTTTCAAATTGTTTATGACTTTCCTTGTAGAAAGAAATTGAATCCACTGCAAACGTTTATAACTTCCTGATACATTTTTAATCCGTGCTCTTACCAGTCATTCTCCTTTTAATATAATTAAAACAGTCCTGACTGCCAAACTTCATTTTGTTTTTTATCATTTTGATTAAGCGTGTTATGTTCACATTTGCACAATTTAACAACTTATTGCTTTAGGAGGTATGACAGGCAACACACTTATAAGCACTACCTGCACTATTGACACTAAAGCTTTTGTTTATGAAAAAACAAACTACCTAATGGTGACCCTTTAAGAGATCACAAAACTGTGTGTATCTGTGAGATTGATAAATAGGAAGATTGCAGTTACCTCAGTGTTCCTTTCCCTAATAAATTATATTAAACAGTGATTCTTCAAAAGCTATGTGAATTTTTTCTAGGCATCTATATTTTCTTGTCTTTTCACCATTAAATTTTTTACACGTTTTCTGTAACTGAAATATTTTTAATCAAGATCTTAAAAAAAAAAACAAAAAACAAACAAACTCATTTGAGGGAGCTGCTTATTTCTTAGAGTAAGTTGTTCTCACTCTGAGAATCTAAATCAAAATAAACATTTGTAAGGAAAACCTGTACAGACTTTATTATTCTGCATATTGTAGGTGGAGCGAAGGAAAATTTGATAGACTGATTATTTTGTAAGATTTTTATTACCTAATGTAGGAAGACTGCTTCAAGTTTTTCTTAATCTTTGTATTTATTATGATGTTCCAGCAGTTTCGAAAATATGCTGGCAATAAAACGTACCTTCTCAAAGTGAATATCATCTTGGCTCAGATATTTGCAAACTACTTGCAGTGTTTGCATATACTAAAAGTTGCTATAAACTTTCAGCCATTATGATGTGCAAATTTGGTGGAACTAAGTAGTAGAAATTGGAACAAAAATAATCTGAGAGATTAATAATCAGACAAAAGTCACTGAAAAGTCATTTGAGGAAATGAAATATATTGACTTTCATATTACTCAGTTGTCAGTCTTTTGCAGGATTTTATGCAAAAGATAACACAGTGAAGCAGTGAGAAGTTAGCTGTAAATGTTATATGTGAAATGCATTTGCATTTTTTTCTGCAATTTTTTTTTTTTCTGGGATGAGAAAATAGTGCAGAAATGAAGTAGCACTGAGCTAATTGCTTAATGCATTTAAAAATGTTCAGGTTCATGCAGTGAAAAAGATGGAAAGACCCTTTATATGGTAAACCATATTAATATGACAGAATTGATGTAGAAACGTGCATACTTGGAATAAAAAAAGTCTGCTTGAATACATGATCTCTTGGCACAATATCTGTGCTTTTTTGAGCCTTTTGACTTTGTATATCTTAACTTAGATTTTTGTTCCTTCTCCTTTGTTTTCTCTGAAACAGGATATAGCTGATCCTTTTTTTGCTTATTGTAAACAGCATGCGGACAGGTTAGACAGAAAATGGAAACGGAAAAACTACTTGGCATTACAGTCTTACTGTAAAATGTCCTTGCAAGAAAGAGAAAAGCAGCTCTCGCCAGAAGCTCAGGTATTATATTTCTTACACAAATGTATCTGCATCAATCATCCATGCTAAACAAGAAAGAAAGAGAATGGGTGATTGCTATTGTTGAAGGGAAATTAAATGTGAAATGTATTGATGGCATGTAGTTCACATATCAGTGAATTATATACAGGTTTGGGCTTCTGAGAACTATTCGCAATCAACTTATTGTCAGCTAGGAATCTATCTTAACTGAATTAAAAAATTGTATTTGTTTGCCCAAATATGGTAATTACATTTTCTTTGTGATTCATAGATTTTTTTTTTTTTTTAAAGCTTTTTTCTATTCGGTGAAAATCTTTTGTTTTCTGTCATAATATTTTGAAATTAGCTGAACAGTTAGGTAGCCTGAAAATTTTCCTTGCGAGATCACTTTTTCACTTATTGTAGAGCTTACTGGAATTTTATGTGCAGGTATTGTCTTTTGTTTTATATGTATTAAGTATTTCTATACTAATATATATATGTATATATATATATACATACTACTGAGTAGGAGATAGCTGAAAGGCAATATCTGTATCCTTGTCTACTGACTGAACCATACAGAACTGTTATTCCATAAGTTTAGCTGGTATACATTGATATAAAGATTTCAGTACTTCCAAGGGAATCTGTGTACCTGAGTTTGTTTAAATGTGTGTAGCTATTTTTTTCCTTTATCTGAGAAGGCTGCACTGAACTCTGTGGACAAATAGTAGCTATGTAGAAAAGCAGCTTGTTGCTTGAAGGAATTGTGCCTGATTTGTTGTTGGCCTTGGGAGATGCTTTGTAAATAATGGAAGAGTGAAATTATGGAGAGAAAAAACTTTTTCTGAAAGTAGAACTGCTGTATAATAACTAGAAAATTTTCACATGATCAGAATCTTTGTTTAAAAAAAAGTATATATTTCTAGTTCTTCAAGGATATTTAAATAGGCAAAGAAAACTTAAATTTAGAATGATCCATGTGTTCATATTCATTCTGAAACAAACTGTCGCAGAAGAATTTTGAATAAAATATTTCTGTGAGGCATTGAGCCTTGGTGTGAGATGATTGAAAGCAAGTTACATAAATGTGTAGCGCTCTCATGTCTCAATTATGTGAAATATCACTATGTAGTGGAGACATCATTATGCTGGATAGTATTCATATCACTGTGGTAGGTATTGGTTCTGCAAAATTAATGTGGGTCCAGTGTGGCTCACACTTGCTTTATTTTTTTAGGCTTTTGGTTAGAGCTCTGCATTTGTTATACAGTGCTGCTAATACTAGTAAGTTCCCTGCATTTTCTTCTCTTTCTGCTCTTTCTACCAAAGCAAGACTCCATGAGTATGGAGTTTTTATGAAATAATTTTTGAACGGTTCCTATGCACTTTTAGAACTCCAAAGATTTCATAATACATACCAGAAATGTTTGATTGGGAAGTTGCACAAAGTGCATACAAAATCATATCTTGCATGTGAATACATATGCATATACACACATAAAGAAACTTACTTCCATGGGAGTTTTAAAGCTTAAGTAAGGTTTCCAAATATTGGTAAATGAGTATGCAGTTGTACAAATAACTTGTGTGTTGCTATGAAAGTGTATTTTTGAGACACGTTTCAAGAGGAGAAGAAGGTGATGCTTGATGCTTTCTAACCCTCACAGGAGTAGCTGAGCTAACGGTTTGGCAAGTCCTGTGTCCCAAAAGAAGGAAAATCCTTATGTTATATATCTGTCTAGAACTGTTGATTGCTGGAAAATATTATATGTTGAAATACTTCCTTTATATCAATAAAGGAATTGTACGTTACATGTATAAAGTATGTAATTCAAAATTACCTAAATACATTCTTACAGTTAAGAATTTCGTTTAAACTAGTCAGTCTGATCTGTCAGCTATTTCTGGAATTGGGCTCTGACAATACGACAACGTTAAATGACTTCATGACTTTCCAAACCGAGCACATCATCAAGTAAAGAGGCATCAAGACCAAGCCATCCTTGTTTGTTCTGGTGAAGAATAAAGCAAGGTGTTAAATGCTTGCTGCTTTTGTTCAAGATAAAAGATTTTGGGCTTAATCTTGTGTTTCTTGGTCGTTAATGTTCGAGATCTAGTAAGGTAATGTATTAAACTGCATCATTAACAAAACCTTAAGCAATGCTGTTTGTAATCAAAGATGTTCCTTACCCATGGCATATATAGAAAAGCAAACTTTTTTGCTTTTGTCTCAGGAGTATTTCATACCATACGGTGGGATAGTAAGATTGGGTTAGCTGCTTCTTTATACTGGCAAATGAACAACTTCTAAGTCATAGTCAGCTGAAACTTAGCCTCTGAAGGTTTGTATATTGATGTCATTTTCTGCCAGACTTGCTGCTGCATAGAGTTCCCACAAGACAATTTTTTCCAACTGTCAGCAACAACTTGATTGATCTGGGTCTGATCTCCCATATGGTCACAAATGTACAGATGTCATCAACAACACATATTGTGAGCTTCTGCTGATTTCAGTTCCCTTTGGGCTAAGGCTTTGGCATATTATAATAAACTAGTTTAACATTGTAAAAAGAGAGGGCATTGAAAAAGGAATTCCTACAAAAGAATGTCATAGGGCAAAAATACTGTTCACCAAATTTTACTGCTCACATAGATCTCAGAGTCACAGAGTTTGGAAGGGACTTCTGGAGATCATCTAGTCCAACTAACCTGCTAAAGCGGGTTCCTTACAGTAGGTTGCACAGAAAAGCTTCCAAGTAGGTTTTGAATACTTTTAAGACATGGACAGTCCACAGCCTCCCTGGGCATCTTGTTCTATTGTCACTCTCAAAGTAAATAAGTTCTTTCTTACGCTCATATGGAGCTTCCTGTGTTCCAGTTTGTGCCCGTTGTCTTTTGTTCTGTACCTGGGCACTGCTGAAAAGAGGCTGGCTCCATCCTCTTGGCACCCATCCAGTAGGTGTTTGTAAGTATTGGTAAGATCTCCCCTCTGTCTTCTCTGCACTGAACAGTTGGAGGTCTCTCAGCTTTTCCTCGTAAGGGAGGTGCTCCAGACTAATCATCCTTCTTGTCCTCTGTTGAGCTGTCTAGAAGTTTCCTGCCTTTATTGAAGTGAGGACTCCAGGAATGTACACGAGCCTTCATATGTGGCTTCACTACAGCAGAGTGCAGGGGGAGGATCAACTCCTTTGACCTGATGGCCAAGCTTAATGTATTTTTGACAGGTCAGCCAAGGTTTTTCCCAATGAGTTTTCATGGTTCCATCAGATTATCAGTTTTGGAAAGGATTGTCTGAAGCCAGCAATAATTCATGTTAATGAAGTAACGTCATCAAGGAATCAGTGAAATCTTTTAAAACCTAGTGAAAGGATAATGCTATTGAAATATGCTTTTTGAAGTAAAATCAAATGTCTGTTAGTGTATTTTTTGAGTCAAAATGTTGTAATTAAAACAGTATTTATTAGATTCTTCAGCTTTTAAACTGAAAATAAGATGCAGTCTCTTTCAGAAGCTTTGGAGCTCAAAAATGATTTTGAATTGTTCCCTTAAATTCTTATTTCATGGAAGTTTTTGTTGTAGGCTCGAATCAATGCCAGACTACAGCAGTATCGTGCCAAGGCAGAGCTGGCTCGTACCACCAGGCCACAGGCCTGGGTTCCCAGGGAGAAGCTACCACGACCACTCACTAGCAGTGCTTCAGCCATTCGCAAGCTTATGCGCAAAGCTGAATTAATGGGAATTAGTACAGACATTTTTCCAGTTGATACTTCAGATACTAGTTCCAGTGTTGATGGAAGAAGAAAACATAAACAACCAGCCCTCACTGCTGATTTTGTCAATTACTATCTTGGTAAGGATCAAAATCGCATATTCTTCTCAAAGAAAAATAATCATTTTGCTGTATTTGTACTTTTTTTTTTTTTTTCTTTTTTTTCTCTAGTATTTCTTTGTTAATAGGCAAATAGGAATTTTTTTTTTTCATTTTTGGTCAGAAACCTTATTGCCCAATATGCAGAATGTTAATGACTTTTCTTTTTAAAGGATTTTGGGAGAAGAGAAACATCTTTCAAACACAAACGGGCAAAGGTGTCAATTTTAAGAGGGGATTGGAAGCTTAGGTGCCTTTAGTATCTTTTTTATGCTTTCCTTAGTGTTTTTGGCATGTTTTTGACGTTGACTGTCCTGTGGATTAGCTGATCAGAGATCACCGTTAATAACTGTACTAGGTTATTGTATACAGCAAAAAGTAAATGTTAGGAATGTTCATTCTGCCAAGGCTGTGTAATAAACCTATAACTGTGTGGGGTTTTTTAAAATTTTTAAATAAAAATGCTCTTTGTTGCTCCACTTTTACAGTGTGTAGAACTTGAAAACATAGCCAAGGCTAGAAAATAAAGAAATTTTCTTTTAAATAGAGAGAAATATGCGCATGATTCAAATCCAGGAGAATATGGCTGAGCAGAGGAATATCAAGGACAAATTAGAAAATGAGCAAGAAAAGCTTCATGTGGAGTATAATAAGGTGAGGAAAAAAGGATAATGAACCATTGTACTGTTTAATATTGCTACTATTAACTTTGATAGCATTTCACTTTTCAAAAAGAATGTCTTAGAAAGAAAAAGATAATATTCGGTCTTTAAAGAAAAGTAATATTTTATAATATTCTTCTTAAAATTTTCTGTGGTTATTGGTCCCCCCCATCTCAGTATACCAGCAGAGTCAACATTGCCTGTGCACTGATTCTTTAATTGTCCCCACAGATAGTTTCAGTAACAAATCACAGACAGAGCCCTCTCCTAAGAGCAATCTTAAGGCTGTTTATTTTTTTGTTCTTAATATGCATTTCATTTGAGACTTTGAGACAACAGGTTTACAGTCCTTTCCTCCATAAATTTCTAACATAGCAGTTGTAATTTAAACTTTTTTTTAATGCACGTGTTTTACTCAATAACTATTTCTTTAACATTTAAATATTTTAAATAGATCATAAGAATGCTTTTGTAACAGATGACATTACAATTCTTGCTCCATTCAGTATTGGACCAATCGGTGATTACTGGTAACAAAAGATAGTGTTGTCATTAACTCTTAAACTGGTAGCCATGTGTTTTAAATGAGAGTGTATGTAAAGGAAGCAGCATGCTCATATGAGTTGCAGAGTTTGAAGGGAAAGGGAGACTGGAAGAGGGAGGCTTTTATCCACATGAAAAGGTTGCATATGCTGTATGATTACTTCCTGAAAAAAATATCCCTTTTCTCTTTACATCCTTTTAATAAATTGTTTCTCCAGTAGAGTGAGTGAAAGTTCTTCAGTATGGCAAATTAGAACTGTAATCATTTTGATGGTCACTTGCTATAATTTTGCTGCTTAAGTGGTAGGGGCAGTACATATGAGACACTGCTGTATTTTGAACTTTACTTTCTAATTTTATTTATGGAATCTCCTTTTTATGCTAAAATGCTTCAGATCATCGTCTTAAAACAGATGGCTGCCCACGTTTTCATTTTAAGTTGCTGAAGAATCACAGTGATCTCAGCTATTTTGATATGCATCCATTTTTTTTCAGTTTTCCAATAAAGTAATGCACCTTTGATAGGTAAGAAGTTAAAGAAATTTTATTAAACGTACTTTAATGATTTCTTTCCTGTTTTTTTTTTCCTTTAACTGCTCAGCTTTGTGAATCTTTGGAAGAGCTACAAAATATGAATGGAAAACTACGGAATGAAGGGCAAGGCATTTGGGCTCTGCTGGGTAGAATCATTGGACAGGTTGGTTTCATTTTGTTTTTATAGCTCATAGGTTGACCTAGTTTTCCAAGGGTGAACGTTTTTGGTTCTGCATGTCACTTTTGTGGCCAAATAAATTGATTTGATCAGACCTAGGCTTCGTTCTCTGGATAATGTTCCCTGATTGAAATGTATAGACTCTGCAAACCACTGGAAATCTGTAGTTTAATTATGTTGTAGTAGCGATCTTGTTTACAAAATTCTTGTGTTTGTTAGAACTGATTGACCTGTCATCTTTCTGAATCTGAACATGAAACACAAGTTAATCTCACCATTTTTGTCCCTATGTTGTCTTTGTTTACTGCAGGCTTCAAATGTTATGAGAACTTTGTGGCTTATATAAGATACACTATGTACATGGTTGTTTTTCAAAGTGGACAGAGTAGAGTATTTGGTAAAAATGAATATAAAAAGTAGGAGAACAGAAGATTTGAATTATTTCCTGTTGCCAATAGTTATCTTTTTTTCCCTTTGATACAGAAAAGATTCCCTTTGATGTAGAAAAGAGAGAACAGTATTTATGTGTTTGATATAAAAAAATATTAAATGACAGTAGACATTTTAGCTTTCAGAGAGAGGTTGAAATGATTTTCTCTTACAATTTTAAAAAAGATTGAGTAAATTGTTCATTGTGAAAATGCAGATAAGCATAATTTTGTGATGACTTTTGCTACTGCTTAGTTTGTGGTGCTGTTCAGGAAATGAAACTTAGCCTTTGTTTGTGGAGCTTTAGTTCATACTTTGTTAATGTTCTTTTTTTCTTGTTCTTTTTGGTCAGCCTATTGCTCCTACATGTGAAAAAAATACTTCAAGCAATACATTGCATTGCGTCTTTTAGATAAGGATTTTTTTCTCCTTTTTAAGATGGGTTTGAAAAAAGTATTCACAAATATATCTCCTGATGGCAAATGTTACCAAAAAGAAAAAAAAAAAAAAAAAAAAAAAAAAGAAGTAGAACTCATTTGCACAGCTTGCATGACTTTTTTTCCAGTTGGTTGAACAGATGCAGACCCATGGGGCTGCTGAGAAATGACTTTGATAGATGGCTGCTGTCTGGGAAGCCAGCGTACTGCAGATTACTAGAAATCCAAAGAGAATCTTGTCTGCTTTGTGGAAGGCTTGGTCCAATAAGATAATTTTTCTAATTAACCTATTGAGCATCAGTGTAGTAGGAATGTTGGGTGAAAAGCAAACTGTCTTACCATTATTCTGTCAGTTCTGTGAATTTTGCTTTCCTTATTTCTACTTGGTAGACCTATACATATTTGTCCTTTCTTCTGTCTTAAAGCTTGAAATTATTTTTTTTAAGTGCTAGTAGTTCATTGTGCTTACTAAATTGAAAAATGAATATAATAATACGTTATCCCAATATGAATTTGTATTGTAAACATCTGTAGTTGCTTTTGTTTGCAAAATAGCTGGCTGAGCCATTTCCTATTCAGTTTGAGTCCTGTTCTTCATGTATTGAGATTGGAATGAAATTCTTTAAAAGTCCCAAGACTTATTGTACTGTGTTTGTTCATATCCAATAGAAATTGAACATACCTGCAATTTTACGTGCTCCTAAGGAAAGAAAACCAAGTAAAAAGGAAGGGGGAACACAAAAGACATCTACGCTCCCAGCTGTACTTTATAGGCAAGTAATGAAGTCTTGACAGAATGGATACTTTTTTTTATTAAGTTGCAGTTTCAAAAAATTAGTGAGAGAAAATAGTTTGTTTAAATTTTGATTAACAAAATGCTTCAGAATTGTCTTAAATGCTTTATTTCTGAAGGCTATGTTGAGGAAGTAATCATTTATTCCCCTTAGCATACATCAATGAGCTTTTCCTTTGCTAACATAATAGCAGTGCTTTGAGAACAAAGGTAACTTTACAATTGATTCAGTCTTTTTTTAATGTGTGATACAAAATTTTTAACTGGTTGTATTGTGTTTTTCAACGTAATCATCCGTATTGACGATTTTGTGAACTACTATTTAGTCACTGGCTGGGTGCATAATGTACCTATCATATAAAAATACTTTTTATTTACTTTTTATTTGGACTGTCATGCTTTGGGATATCTCGTTTTTCAAATTTCCCTACTTGTGGGTTTTTTTTTTGTTTTTTTTTTTTTTACTTCCAAGAAAATATTCACTTACTCTAATGTACACGTTATTTCACCTGCTGTATGTTTATAAAGCTACTGATGAGATTTTAAGTAACCTTAAAGGTGGTGTATATTCTAGGATATCTCAGAACATGACCATACTCTTGAATATATTTATCTTGCTGCCAGCTGGGAAGTGGCAGTCAGTGGCTTATGGAGAGGGCAGCTGTCATTCCTCTAACCACAGAATATAAACAGTATCTTGCCCAGCTATTAGGATAAACAAAGAAGATGTAGAAGTTGATAAGTTGATTCTAGTATTGTGAGAGGCTGAAATCTTGAGAGCATGTGAGAGGGGTGAGGATTTCACGATTTTACACATGTAGACAAACAATGGAAGTTACATTCTGTTTCATTCACAGTCTAGTCATTTAGCTCCTCCTATAAGAAGATCAATAAACATCCGATCCTTTGGAAATAATTGAACGAAAATATTAATTCCATTAAAATAATAGTAGTGAAATGTAATTTTCTATTAGCTGGTATATTACCTAGTGTAATAGCAGCACAGACCTGTTTTGAGGTCTTTGCATTATTGAAATAAGTCTGATTACTAAGACTGATAATAGTGGTATAGTTTCTCTGTTTAAGTATTTGGATGGTAAAGATAGTATTCTTTTCCATTTGCCATTAATATGTTTTGTCTGATTATCAAGTAATTGCTCACTGGTTAAAAGTCCTTAACAATTAGATTGAAGATCTCTTTATTGTTAACTACATTAGGTGTCTTTTACGTTTTACTGTATATAGGTAGAAGTTCCATAAAAATAGTTATGCACTTATGTGAAAGTAGTTGCCACATGCTGATACTGAAACTGTCATTTGATCTTTGTAATTTCAAATGTAATTATAATGTTTTTCTACTGCCTACATTAAAAAGTTGTGGAATTTGCAAGAAGAATCATGATCAGCACCTCCTATTACTGTGTGACACTTGTAAACTCCATTATCACCTTGGTTGTCTGGATCCACCTCTTACAAGGATGCCCAGGAAGACCAAGAACAGTTACTGGTAAGAATGCAATTGGTTATTTATCTTACATTACATCTGTACTTAAACTAGGACATAAGCATGAACTAGCTAACAAATTGTTTTAAATTTTGCTATCTTAGGTTAGGGTTATTTTATTTTCAGCAGGAATGACTGCAGGTAAAATGTAATGTGGCAAAGATTTCTTATTAGTGTCCTCATACAAATAGGTTACAACTTTACTTTTCTTAGCTTTTGCTTTCTGTGATTGCTGATTATGATATGTAATAATATTAGAAAACCACAGGAAATGAACAACTTGGTTTTGTTTGTCTCAGGGCACAGATACACAGCTCTTCTGTCTAAATATTTAAGAAAATACTTGCAAGTAATTAAAAGTAAATTTATTAGTGGTAAATCATTTTATTGCAATATAGGAAATCTTGGGTTAATTCTGTCTTCTGCAATGGCAAAAGCACATGTATGAATGTACTTACTACAGTTACGTTTCCATGAATTAAAATTACTTTTGTGGAAGTGGAGCAGAACAAAAGCTAAGTGTTATAATAGAGAACTGCTAAAATGTAGAGGTGCTGATTTCTAATTGCACTAGAATTACTGTATTACTCTCTGTTCAGCATGTTTCTGAAGTGCTCTGAAGTGTGTTGGGAACAGTTTTTATCTGGAAAAAATTTAGTGTACAGCATCTCTAGGAATTGTCATCACCTAGTCTGAATGTTAAGATACCAGATGAATATATACTAAGAATTCCTTCTGAAAATACAATGTAGCGATTATAATCGAGAAAACTCTGCTTCTATTTTTTTTTAATATATCACTTACATTTTTCTTTACAATTCCAAATAACATCTAAATGATATTTTCTGCTTTATTTTGATGATATATTGTGTGCAGATCAAGGTGGCTGATACCTGAAATGGGAAGTCTCTTTTCTTTTTCTTTGTTTTTATCATAATACAATACAGCCTGAATTTATACTAGTGAACTTAATAATTTGAGATTTACTTGAAAAGCTGAAAAGCTTAGATTCACTCACTAAATTTTTTTCTGAACGTAGTTTCCCTTAAATTATTCAATACATGATTTTGGACTTCTGGCTATTTTAAAGAAATTCTAATCATATCTTTGGTCAAATTTATGAAGCAGTTACTTGGAGATTTTTTACAGGATGTTCGGTTTTTTTTTTTTTTTTTTTTTTTTCTCCTGCTTTTTAACTTGAGTTGAAAAGGCTCTCTAACAGCCATTGGTCAAAGATGTGAAACTGTAATTCTCAATAGGACAGAATAGGACAGGTAGCACATGCTTTTATTTCAAAGTTCTGACTTATCTTTGTTGTTAATTCATGCTTCAGTTATACCTCAGATCACAGAATTTGCTTTTACTTCTAATTAGTTAAGACTTATTCTAGAGAGTGAGATTATAGCAGACAAATTGATCTGTATTGATTACATTCTTTTCATCGTTTACATGCCTTTATGTATTCTTTTCAGGATCAGTAGAGAGCACATTGAATGGACCCTTAATCTAAGTTGGAGTTCAGCAGGTTTTTCCCTCCTGCTGTTGTGAATAAATTTTTAATCTTTTGATTAAGCAGTGAATAAAAATGCAGATTTTTTTGATGTGCTTTCCAGATATTTCTGTAGAATATAATGTGAATTTAAGCAAAAGGTTAAGTAACAAAATGGCTATTGTGGGAAATTCCTTGAAATGTTAGACAAGTTGAAATATTTTATTTGAAGTGATTAAAAGTACTGACTTTAATCCACATTGAAAACAGGAAATAGTTGAAAATTTTCTTGATTTTTGTTTTCCATTTCATTATCACTGGTAATAACTTACTTTATAATTACTGAATTAAGCCTTTATAAGAGGTTTGGCAACAAAGCTGTCATTTAATTTATACCTGTATATTTATTTAATCTTTGGTTGGTTTAGAATGAGGTTATTCCATGGTTAATTGTTCTTTATTTTTGTCCATTTCATGCTCATTGTTTTTTTTACGAATTTACATTGTGGCTTACAAAAATGGATTTTGGAATTGTTGAAATAAATCCACTATTAAATGTAAGAAAAAGATTAAAACCATGGTAATATTTAAGGGCTAATTCATTAAAGAAAACCCAAATTATAATTTCAAAGTGTTTCTAGATGTCCTGACTTCACAAAGATAATTTCAAAATGTTCCTTTTTGTTTTATTGGTAACGTAGGCCTTGTTTTATTGGTAACGTAGGCCTTAAGTTTTCCATTTTTATCTATTTCTAGGTTAAAATATATATTCATGCTCTATTTCCTAAAACTTTGCAAGAAGAAAGCACTCTTTGGTCTTAAGGTGCTTACCCTAAAGTAAAATGTTTTCATGAGACTTAAAACGTTTTGTGGTATGAAAAACAACAACTTGTATCTGCATCATGAAGTTATGGCGGTTGTAGTAATACCATGGTAGTGTTATCTTTGTTGATGGAAGGAAATGTTTTTTGTATGACCAATACATAAACAGATGTCTGAAGATTTGAATAATGCCATTACTCATGGGAATAAAATGTTGCAGTTCCTTCATTTAACTTTTGTTTAAATTTGGCATTTGTATTTGCCTTTGAAAAGATGTAGAAGCCTTTTTTTTGTTGTTGTTTTCACATAAAAGGAAGCAAGAAAGCAGCATTATTATCAGTGTGAAAGCTCTCAGAATTATGTATTTAATGGTCATTTAAGGAAGTCATACTTCTGTTGAGTAGGTTTTTATGTTGAAAGTGTTTTTTTTGGCTGTCAAATCTCTTGTCATGTTTAGTTGATGTCCAATAATGTAATGGAATTTACCTTACTTATACTACAAGAATTTTTACAGTAAGTTTAAAAAAGAACAGAAAATCACATCTGAAATATAGGAAACTTCTGTTAAGCCATGCTGTGGTGCTTTGCTGTAAGACATGGATAGTATGCCCAGAACATTATGTTCAGTTATGGTCTCCAGTTTTCTACAGGGGGCAAATCTATTTCAACATTTTAATGTGCAGCTTGGAGTAAATCACTTGCTGCTTTGCAGTTCGCATTGCGGACCATGGAACATGGTTACTGCATTCTTTTCAGATGAGTCCAGAAGATTATTACATTAACTACTGATTTTCCCTGAGGCTAGATTAAGCAAATCCAGAGTAAAAGCAAAACAAAAGCCATGTACAGAAATAGAATCTTCAGCACTGTTGTTCCTATCAAATTACTTGTGCTGCATAGCAATACTTGCTAATTAAGACATAGTCTGAACAGATGGGAAGATGACCTGTTGTGATAGGTTCTCAATTCACTGATTGTCATTGAAGAGACAAAATAAAATGAACATGACTTTAGTATTGCCAGAGAAGGAATGGGAGTTCTGTGCTTTCTATGAATATATTGGGATTAAATAGCAGAATGGAAAAAAAGAGTGCTTTAAATTCAAGAACCGTGTTATAAACCATAATAGGAATTGAAAGTTAAGAAGATTGTTTCCAACATAGAAGACTGTATTTCTGTAATAGCTTTTCTGTGGATCCTTTGGGAGCTAACAACAAAACAACTTTATAGCTTGACTGCTTTATAAAAGAGTTGATAAGATGTAGTTACCTGTGATAGTAGAGGCTATTTCAGTAAATTAAGAGTTTCCTTGGAAGTTCGTGCTTATAACTTTTTTTCCTCTTCATCTTTGGTGTATTAGTAAGGTTTTGTTCTGTGTTTACCCCCTACCTCCCACCATGCTGTGGTTTTGCAGCTTTCTTTTTGTGTAACTTCCTTTCTTCTTTGATTGCTGTGAGACTTTTACCACCTGTTTCAGAATAAGCTTTGTCGTAGAAATGGAATTTCAGAAACCTGCAGGAAGTATCTTTGCTTTTGGATTAAATGCTTATTATCTTCTCCATCAAAATTACAGTAACATATTTGTGTTTAAATAGAGCCCTGGTGAAATTAGAGTGCCTTACAGGTCTACATAGTTTGTTTTCTGTGCAATTGCCTGAGCGTATGGAGGGAAGAGTAACATGTCTTTTCCTTTTAGCAGTTTACAGCTAAACAATGGGAATGTTAATGATACAGAATGTCAGATTCAACAGGCTAGGTTACCAGCTCCAGACATTTTCGTAAGATCCCTGTCACTGCTTTTTCTTTTATAGAACATTTTTAATGCAGTTCTTTAATTATAGTTGTTTCATGGCTTTTTAAATTATTATTTATTTATTTTACGTACAGTACATGCTTTTACCATAATAGTGGGGATTTTTTTTTGTTTGTGAGAATTGCTCAGAATAGCACTTTAGGAACAGTTTCACATCTATTGCTTACGTCAGTGTAAGCAGATCATATCAAATGATTTTAGTTGTGCTTTCCATATAAATGTGACTGATGCTGCAGTGTCAATGAAGGGCTGACTTTCTTGTGATTTGTTAATGAAATCTTCATACAGTGATAACTTTCCTGCCTTGTCTGCCTTGTAGTACTTCTGTTTTTCTAGATCAGTAAATGCCACTAGCACTATCATGTGGTCTGAAGTGCGTTAACGATAAGAAAGATTAATCTTCATAACATTGTAATGCAGCAGCAATTATCTGAATTTTACACATGGAAAAATTAAAGCAGAAATTTGTTGATTTCACCAAGGTCACACTAGTAATGTCTCCTCAGTCCAGGATTAGACCCTCTGCAATTTAACTTGTTAGCCACTGGTTTGTCTAGCAGCCTGCTATTGCCTGTAGCTGTAGGTGTAGCTAGTTGTTTAATTTGATTTGATTCCTATTGGAATAGACTGTAAGACCATCAGTGGGATGGACTTCTTTTTTGTCCTTTTTTTTTTTAGTTGGTATGTTAAAAAATATATATATATATATATATGGAAACATATATCAGAAGTAGCCTTTGTTAAAAATGCCGTATAAAGGCATTTTGTATGTAGTATTTCTGTTGAGTTGAACAGGAATTGGAATTTGGACTAAAAGCAATATACCAGTAATCAGCAATGGCATTTCAAATAAAGGCAAGACTGTTAGCTTTTTAAGATCGCATGAGTTGAAATTACAGGAGCAAAACTGTTTCTGTTGACTATTCATAGATGAAGAAGTCAGTACATACACAACACTTATTCTTTTAGCTTGTTGCGTGATGGGCATGATTTCTCTCAAGTGTTTATTAATATTTAACTACAAATAACGAAGTACATTTATTTTGGTTTGTCTCCTTGCAGAGCAAATTTGCAACTTCATTTAGATAATGTATGTATCCCTTTTAATGCTAATCAATAGCAGGATATTTTCATTTTTTAGTTAATACAATTAAAGAAATATTTTGAGTATACAAAAACAGTGATGAATTAGAATTTGCTTGAGAGGTTTTATAGTTTGAATTGAAAAGTATATGTGAGGAAAAAATGCAAATCCTTTATCATCAGTTTACCCATCCTCCATCGGGATATCATTTTTTTTAAATTGTCATTTATGAAAAATTTATATTCATTTATGAAAATTTATATTCATGGTATTTTTAGTTACCATCTGCTTTTATGACTTTGCGTAAAATGAATCATTTCTGCAAATGAGAACAAAACTTGATGACTTCCCATCTTGTTATTCCTGTCTTGGAGCTTGTAAATAGCATTTCCTCAGACAAGGTATACTTTGAAGTTCAGATTGTGATTAGATACTTTCTCAGAAATTCAACAGGCATATTTTTTCAACATATCGTTCAAAGATTGTTAATGCATAACTTTTTCTTAGATTTAAAATCTTCTCCCTTCGGAAATAGATTTTACAGTTGATTTTCAAAGTGGATATTTTTTTCTAAATCCCTGCTGCTCAAGACCACTCATCAGAATGATGTCATCAGTGTATCATTGTAGAGATTAAACTACAGCAGCGTTTTCAATAATTGATAGATTACAAGTGAGTGAATACAGTTAAAAGTAAGGATATGGTAGAATTTGAATACTGAAACAAGGTTTTATTCTACTTCTAAAATCTTGGTTTTTCATAATACAAGAACTGTCGGGGAAAAAAAAAGCACAGCACAGCAACAGAGCATTTTGCTGTTTTTATGCGCAGATGAGTAAATTATCATGCCTTTGAGAGATTCTTTTAGTTGCTATTGGCCCTACTAACTTCTTTGAAACCCAAACCCTTCTTTTTTTTTTTTTTTTTTTTTTTTTTTTCTACCTCAAAAACATTTGTTTTTGTGCTTTTGTGACTGCAGTTTTAAATAAAAAATCTTTCACTTTGCAGGCAGTGCTCAGAGTGTGACCAGGCAGGTAGCAGTGACATGGAAGCTGATATTGCCATGGAAACCTTACCAGATGGGACCAAAAGATCACGGAGGCAGATTAAGGAACCAGTGAAATTTGTTCCTCAGGATGTACCACCAGAACCGAAGAAAATTCCTATCAGAAATACGGTAAATAATAGCTGAGTTACTGTTATACTTTGTATTCATAATAGTTTTGTTTAAAATAACTTATGTTTTGGGCATCTTGAATATTATGTAATAACTTTAAATATAAAAATATGGATATAATAATTTTTAAGTCTAATGTTGAATAAGACTTTATTATGTGTGTTGAAAATGCAGTTTTGCTAAAGTAAATAATCATGTGTGATACAGAACTCTGAACTGAAGAGTTGTGCAAGCTTTTCCAGTAATCTTGCTCTCTAAGGCCCTTGTTAATTACAGAAAAACAGAAGGTTCTGTTTGCACTTAAGCTTATCCTTTACAAGTATTTTTTTGCCTTAATAGTGCAGGCACTTTGTTCTCATATGCTCAGGTAGATATACGTTACAATTGAAAAGTAACTTATTTTTTGTGTGTGAATAACCTCCAAACTCACTGCATAAATTATCACAAGACCTTGTGTGTCACTTCCTTGTCACTGTGTTTGCTCTTAACTTTTCTGCTGGATGGTGCTGTGAGTTTTTTTTCATTCATTTTTGTTTGGTAATGGGTTTTGGGTTTCTTTTTTTTGCTTGCTTTATTTATTTATTTATTTATTTTAGAAGAACTGTTGCTTCTTAGGCTCAAGAAATACTTTTTTTACTTGAGAGTAGAATTTAGCATTAATCTCTGTATTCCATTGTGCTTTTCTAGTGCTCTACTGCTTAAAATTTTGTTCTACTCATGCAACAAAGTTTTTTATGTGGGCTTAGAGCTTTAAGAATAGAATTGTAGAATCACAGAATAACCTGAATTGGAAAGGACCCATAAGAATCAATGAGTCCAACTCCTTACTCAAGCCAAAACAATTAATTTAGCTGTAACTATTTGGACTATTTACAAAATTAAATTTTATGAATAACTGAGCATCTACAGAGCAGAAACCTTTTTTTGTTCCCTTTCTTATCATTGACTGAAAATTCCCTTTTTTTTCTTACATGTGAGAATCATTAGGTTCTTAACAGTAGTCTGGATGAGTTAGACTGACTGCAGTCGTGTTCATACAGAAGAGAGACAATCTGGTCTTCCTGTTTATTGAACTCTTAACATCTCTCATTTTTCTTCTTTCCCATGTCTAAACCTAATATAGTGGTAGGGGTTAGAGATTCATGATTATGGGAAATAAAAGTATTGCAGGAAAGGCATTCTATCTAGTAATAGCAGGGTGAATAGAAGGCATAGTATGTGTATCTATAGGAAAGCAATCTTGCTCTATGTTGTGATTTTATGATTTTTGTTACTGGCATTCCATGTCATGACATCATGTACTGTACTGGGAGTTAGAGCTAATGCTGTAGTTCTGTGGATTGACAGTAGTTCTGTGTACCTTTCTCAGAAGAGTAGAAACTACAGTTCTCAGAAGACTTTGTTATTCCATTTCCATTTTCCGTTGAGAAGGAAAGATAAAAACTGACTGAGAGTCACAAGACTGTTCTCTTTTTGCTTGTCTCTGCGGTGAGTGCTTCCTAGCTGTCTTGCCTGTAGCACATTTTCTCTCATATTAGTCATGGAACTAGGCCAAACCAAACTGGAACCATGTGAGTTTATTACTCTGCTTATGTGATACTGGCCCAGTTTCTTCTGTGGTAAGTGCAGAGAAGTTTGTGTAGTTGTTCTTAAGTGCATCCTTCACTGTGGTGATCTGTCACTGGTGCTGCATGGGAATCTGGTACCTCCCCTGTTAACGCCCATGATAGTACATAACACACAGCTAAAATTTACTTTGAATGGGCTAGTATGTTGGGAAAGTATAACATTCCACTGCAGAAGAATTATGGCTACCTATCTGGTAAATACTTTGTTCCTCTGTTTGAATTTTTAGGGTGTCTTTCAGTTCTCTCCAGTCTTTTAATTTTCTACAAAACACAAATTTGAAAGATACGTTGTCGTATTATAAAGTTATCTCTGATTAAACTCTTTAGTTCTGATTGTTTAGCTTTCCTGTACTGGCCTTTTCTTTTTTTTTTTTTTATTATTTTTCATTTCACTAGTATTGCCTTTTGCTTAACTGTGGAAGAGAAACTTCAGTCTTGATACCTTGCTTGTTTCTTTTTCTGAAATCTGCTGAATTCTTTAACGAGACTAATACATTGAGGTGGTGTAACAAAATGAGAAGTGTTGATCTTGGAAGACATAGTAGACACCTCCAAGTTGTATGAGATTCCCAGATACCTTCGTTGTTAGAAAGGAAAGTTATATCTGATTATGGAGAGAACTTCTCTGTGGTATGGTTTAACAGTGATGACCAGATACTTGGTGTCTCTTTTGTGTATTTCTTTGTATATTTACTTGGTGTAAATATTTTAAAATTCAGAGGGGAAAAAAATGAATAGTTTGAAAATATGTTCATTTCACAGTTCTCTCATCTTAATATCTCTGAACATTTTATTCAATTTAATTTTGTTTTGCAATAAATTGGCAAGCCCACTTACCTAGCAGTGTGTAATCATCTTTGTGCACAGTTATAATCAACAAGTGCAATTAGAGACTGTTGAATTGTATGTTTGTTGCTCTTAAGGGAATTTCCATGTGTTTTGCATAAACTTATTTTCAGTTGATTCAACTGTGAGAAGGCTTTTGTTTTGGTGTTACATACCCCAAGGAAAGAGAATGTATCTTACCTGTTTCAATTTAATTATAGCCGTTTATTGCATTTGACTGTTTTTTTTTGTTTTTTTTTTTTGACACAAATTGTGGGTACTATTTTTATTTTGATAAATTTGGATTAGGCAGTATTAACTGATATCTATAACAATTTTACTTGCATTTGTAGGAATAAGTGATTAATTCTTGATGTTAAGTACATCTAACGCTGTACTATATTAAATAGACAATCTTCTTCTAAATTTTATTATTAATTTGTCTTGCAACTAGTATTTGGTAGACATGGTAAAATACAGGCTTTTTCAAGAATAATTGTAATAGGATTGTTTGTTTTTTTTTCACATTTCCATCTGGCTATGAAGAATAAGATGACAATTGGGAAATATTAAGAATTATACTATTGTTTCTTATTTGATCTATTTATGTGTATTTAAGTTAACAATGACTAATACATCTATTGAACTTCTGTATCATCCTTAACCTGTATCATCTCTTCTACTTTGCTTTGTCTGAACTTAGAAGTATTTTCAGGGTATTCTCATTTTGAGTGTCTTAACTGCTTAGCCTTAAGTCTGTCTCAAGTTGCTTCTTAGCAGAGTTTTAGAATGGAATGCTTTATGTTATTTTTAATGAGGTGCCGTTTCTTTCTTTCTTCAGTCTGCTTGTGCAGAAACGTGGCTCATAACTAGTTGCTGGGCTGGGAAGAGCTGTGAGTTATACTTATTTTCCAACTGGTTGAGAGGGAAGTAGAGACTAATGAAAATGTAGGTTTTCTACTAGGACTGCACTGTTCAGCCTAATCTTAAATCTGAACTGGGAGGACCAGAGACCAGTGGCAGTTAGGAATACACTGGTATTCACAGCTTCTATATAATATTGTAAATATACTCTAATATTTCAGTCTCTTAGGTTTCACAGGGTTTGGAGTATTTGTATCAAAGAACATTTATGTCAAGAGCAACCATTTCAAAGTAAATGAGACACCATTGAGAATGTGCAGTCCTTCGGACTGCATTGTTTTGGAGAGAGTGCCTAGCATGTTTTCGTGAAAGAGGAAGTTTATGAGAACGCATTTCTTTCTTTAAACTTGCCTTAAAAGATCATGTGAGATCATACATAAATGCTCAAAGGTAAATTTAAAAATCAAAGTTCTCTGAATTGGGGTCCAAACAAATGTTTATTGAGTGTGAATAGACTAGGTATTAGGTCTTCAGTCTATTGTATAAGAGCTGAGTTTGCAGACACAACATAAGCAGTGTTTTTGCTTATACAATTCAAGCCTTATTCAGTAATCTTAGTAATTGTTTAAGCAATTTTCTGGATTTCAGTAGATAACTTTTCAAACTAGTTCTATTTAAATCCATAATCCTTGTAATTCCAATTTCATACTTGTATAAGCTTCATAAATCATTATTGCTGCTGCTAGTGAATAGCTAATTTGCATAAACTGAGCTATCTCAACACTGTTGTTTTTTTTTTTTTTTTTGTGAAAAAAAAAAAGCTGAAGGTGTGTTTTAATGTTTGCTCTCAACCTATAGTTTTTTCATGTTGGATGTTTTTGTTACAAAGATTAAAAGAAAAGACTGTCTAATAATATGTGTTTCTAAGAGGTGCAGCTAGTACTTTAGAACAGTAAGCTGAGAGATTAATCTGTTCTTCTGTACCATTATGTATGTGCAGTTTATGAGAGCCCTCATAAGATTATCCTTATTAACACAAATCAGCTTTGTATAAGTTGTAGCTTCCTTTGATATCCTCAAATGAAAAAGAAAGCACAGGTGATTGTTCACCCAAGTTGTCATCAGTTAAATAATTTTGGTAATCTGGTATTGTATTTCTTTTTAAAATGAGTATGCTGCTTCTGTCCCTTGAAAAAAATATCTAAGTGTAATTTCAGTAGTTCTTTTACTTGAAAGTATCCAGTTTATCTAGTATACATGCAGCCTTCTGGCATTATAAAGGAGTTTCTGTAAGAAAGGTCAAATCTTTTAAAGCAACGCTATGCAGCTGGGGCTGGCTGTGTGTTGTAAGAGGTGGTAGAGAATGCATTTCTTTGTAATTCTGGGGTACTCTTAATGAGCATATTAGCATTTGTGTGCGTGTGTATAGATTCCATTTTTGGTTCCTCTTAAATGCAAACATTTGCCCACTGTTGAAATGGAGAAGTTGCCTTTTTGTAAAGGATTTAGGACATCGAATAGTTTCTCTAGGGATTTAGAAATGATTCCATCTTCTGATTTTCTTATTTTCATTACTTGAAAACTGAAAATCTGATAACTTTTTTTTTTTTTTTCCTGTAATCACTCTGTATAAAATCCAATGAGTAGACAGTGGGTTTTCTGTTAAGCAGTAAAAACTCCATG